GAAATGATATTTTTCTATGTATGTCAAGGTGATGCGTTTTAATTAATTAAATTGTATGCAAATTTGTATACAAATTAAAAGAAATATTCTGTGATACTAATTATGATGATTACAATATTGGTAAAAGTATAATTTATCGATAATCCTTAAGTGGAGGATTAGTGACTTTGAGAAGGTTCACCTACTTACTAAGAATAAATAAACATTGAAAATTAGCGTGAAGAATTAAGATTTGAATTTACAGTTGAATGTTAAGGTTCAGAACTATAATTAGTATTTTCATTTCAAATCGACACCAAGTATAATTCCAAAATGCTATCTAGTCATATGGATGAATGAATTTCTCACCAAAATCCAAGACTTATCTTAAATCAGATTGGTTCGTCCACAAATTATAGTCTCTCCAATGTTATAGTTGACGCTTAATGAAGATATAAATAAAAGTAATAGGGTAATGTTTATAATGTGTATTGGCAAGATCAAAATTGATCAATAATGACCCTTTTGTAGCCTAGAGTAAATAACCCGGTTGAACGTATCTCATTTATATATATAATTTTCGTTTCCTAAAGTTAACAACAATTTCTTTTGATACATATAAGTGTAATTTTCCACTTTTTTTAGTAGATTACTCGAAGCCTAATACATAACTGAGAAAGGTTCTCCTGTTTTGACAGTCATATCTCTATTTGTGGTAACTGAATTGTAATGAGAATTAGTTATAAAGTGAGCTCACTTAAATGATACACAATCACGAGTACTGAAGAAGTTTAATATTGAGATAAGATGGTAGTTGGAGGTAGTCAACAGAAAATGCTGGACCCGGGTTTCGTTCTACTTGGCACTAGTCGGCAAGATGTACCTGTAATCTTGGGGGAAATGGTGCTCCCCGACGGATTCGATTTCGTGTCACCCAGCTTAACAGTCAAAGAGTAACCATTGAGCTATCCGGGCCGCGACCGACCTCCTGTAGGACAAAGTGCCAAGTAGCACGAAACCCAGGTCCATGGATTCCTGTTGACTACCGCCAACCATCTTACTTACTTACTTACGCCTGTGACTCCTCGTGAAGGAACATAGGTCGCTCACCAGCATTCGCCGTCCAACCCTGTCCTGGGCAATCTTTTCCAGCTCCTTCCAGTTCCTATTCATCCTTTTCATATCTGCTTCTATTATCCGACGTAACGTGTTCTTAGACCTTCCTCTTTTCCGTTTCCCTTCAGGATTCCAAGTTAGAGCTTGTCTCGTGATGCAGTTTGATGATTTGCGAAATGTATGTCCTATCCATTTCCATCGTCTTTTCCTAATTTCTTCTTCAGCTGGAAGCTGATTCGTTCTCTCCCACAAAAGGCTGTTGCTGATGGTATTCGGTCAACGGTTGTTGAGTATCTTGTGTAGATAACTATTTATAAATACTTGCAACTTCTTGATGGTTGTTGTTGTAGTTCTCCAAGTTTCAGCTCCATACAGTAGAACTGCCTTGACGTTCGAATTGAAGATTGTGACTTTGGTATTGGTTAAAAGTTGTTTTTAGTTCCATATGTTCTTCAACTGTAGGAATGCTGTCCTTGCTTTGCCAATCCTCTCCTCATTTACCTATAAAAATTTGTGCTCTGGTTGTTAGAAGGGGCATAGGCCTCGTGGCTTCCGAAGGAACTCCGCTTTCACCATGAAGCGTCATAATTCTTCTAAATGAAGACCTTCTAACTTTCAGGACAGAGTTTAAATGGTTTGAATTATTTTTTTCTGGTGAGCGTTTATTTAGCGAGTTAGTTTTCTACGGGATGGGGACGCTAACTACATGCCCAACCCTCCTTCTTTACCCTGGCTTGGGACCGGGAAGAAGAGCTACAGGTGGAGTTTCTAATGTAATGTAATGTCGAGCCACCTAGACTAGTGACCACAATGCAACTTGGTTGATAACATTCGATCTCTACTAAGAAGGACTCGACACACATGACATTGATCACCACCAAGTGATCAATTAATTGTGAAGTTTAATATTAAAATCAGGAGAATCGCATATTTTTAAAATATATTACAAATAGAAATAATTCGTTATTAAACATACAAGATGTACAACAATTTAAACAGTCATTCAGTGTGCCCATAATAAGTTAAATATCTCTTTACATAAGTATCATGAACTATCGGATAAGTAATAATTCTATCTGACCTTCTTAATCGTTTGATGTTCACATTTTAATTCACATTATTTGTATGCAATTCTGAATTAGGAAAATTGTCTGAATTCAAATTGAAATTACCTACATGATTAATTTCTTCTTAACCTGTAAGTCTATTATGAACTGAATTAAGAATCTTTACAAATGGACTCCTGATTCTCTAAAGTTTAATTCTTAGATATGATAAGTAATCGTTGTATGGACGATACAACACTTCTGGTAAAGTAATATTCAGTAAATGAGTTCGGATTATCCAGGATTTGAAAAGTTTATTTGAACTTTGTCAAAAAATAAATAAAAATAATATATTTGTAATATCCCAATGAGTAGAATATTCGATTAAGAAACTACAATTACATAACCATAGTTCTTCCAGATTACTTGGATTAACTAAATTAATGAGACTATTTAATGTTCGAATAAAGTTGTCCCTAAACCATTTGACAGAGAAAACTGCTAAGCTGTAGACAGATTATTGTATGCAATTTTTTAAGTAAATAGAAGAGTTCTCGTACATTAAAATGAATACTATTGTTTTAATAATTTTTCGCTAGGGATTTCTCACACAGAATCTAAGACAATCGGTAAAGCATAATATGAGATTAAAAATGGACCGTAATTACCGGCATTTCAAACGATAAACGGTAAGTTTTCCACATTTGCTTTCTGTATACCGTTTTTTATAGCAGGAAGAATCACTTTCAAATCGTCAATTTATATTAACTTATAAAAGAAGACCATATCAATGTCCGATTAAAATAAAGGGAATAAGTTCAAATAATCAGAACATCTAATAAATTATAAGAAGTCAGTTATAACGGTAAAACAATTGTTAAATAATATATGTTATATAGAGTGCGAGTGAAAACCGAATTGGTTAGTAGTAACTGAATGCAGGACAAATGAGACTGATCTCTTAGGAATAAACTATCACTATATCCAACATTAAAAAGGATACAAATAATATGGCTAAACAATATATTGTGTTTCAGTTCAGAACATTGTGGTTTTAGACTGAATACGAAATGACAAATTTTATAATTCTTAAAACAAAAACCCCTTAGAAATACTGTCGCCTAATATTGATCAATTGATCAGCTGACTGATTCGATCTAGCCTTTAGACAAAAGTTTTTAAAGTGTTTCATATTCTTTCAAAGAAGAGAACGTTTAATTTTTTTCTAATACTTTTATACCTATAAAAAAAGCTAATAGCTATCTAATCTCAATAGATCAGTGAATAAACACCTGATGTTTAAGATTTGTTGACCATGTTAGATCCCCAGAACTCACTTGGTAAATACATTAAACTTGCAATTCTATTTTAAAAACTGAATTTCTTGTTTTCGCTCCAAAGCACTCACTTTTACCTTCATGCAGGAACTTAAATGCCATTGTTTCGTTATCTCTTTTAGTATGTTATATTGTACGGTTTCCCAAATACATTTTTATGCTGTATACATACGCTTGCGTTGTTCTCCTTTTTGTTGTTTTTGCTTTTGACTGCTAGCAGAATATATTTCCCTCTTCCGAACTTAGACTTCTCTATCTAGTTAGCTGAGTTTGGGACGCGTTGGAATAGCTAGCTTATCTGTCATTGTGTCAGAGTTTTCGTTTCCGTTCTCCGATTTATGTGAACTCATAATCTCTTCAAATATAGTAAAATGAAAGGTATTGATTTTGAGCCTCGGTACGAACATTAATATTAGAATCTAAGTACACCCAACTGATAAGTCTCAAACAAGACAAAATTCACGTTCTAAACTTCACTTCTAGTCATATAAAAATTATGATAAAATTATCGCTCAACGTTTTACCATATAACCGATAAATAAGAAGACAAAAAATTGTATATGAAAATTATATTTGAACTAATCTGAGCGATTGAATTTTTAAGTAATTCCAACGTTTCATCCAGGAAACTAGTCTAGACTTCTTCAGGATTATGATCAAAATTGAATTATCAAATGGTTTTACAATTTATTCTCAATAATTGGTTAATGACTATAATACTATTTTTGTTTAGCATAGATATGTAATGATTTAAAAAGTTATTATTATCAGAAGGGGTTTTTGTAGATATTATAGTATATGTAGTATATAGCATCCACGATCCCACCTCGTGAGATTCGAATCTAGAACTTATCAGCCTCGCGCGCGAGCGCTTAACCACTAGACCACTGAGCCGACATTCAACGTTGTTAATGTCTAACTTCAACTAATCCATGAAATTGAGGGACACATCCACTATTATCTTCAGTGAGTTACTATTTCACAACAGACCTGGTTGAACTCCATTAGTTAGTAGAATTCCAGGAAATACCTCTTGAAGTTAATCACTAGTGAGCATATGTTAAATAATATCAAAAAGAGTTCGAATTCCACGAGGCGGGATCGTGAATGCGCATTGTTGAGGAGTCGCACAATAGAACAAAATGGCCGTCTATTCCTTCAAGTTTTCCATAGTGGTCTAGCTTCAACTGACTCATGATCTGAACTATTTAAAAATTATTATTATTAAAATTAATTAATACATAGTTAATCAGTTAAAATGTAAATTCATTTAAGATGTAATTGGAAAGAACACTTTTAACTATATTAGTTAATTAACAAAAAAAAAACTATGTAGATAACGCCTACTCCTTTAGTTTAAAAAAATCTTAAACAAAATTGTGTTTTAAAGTCAGCATATTTTTTTCAAAAGAAACAAACAAACAACAACAACAACACATAATTGGGTGTATAGTTGTTGACCAATACAATTTAAGTATTCATATCATACAGTGTATTTATAAATATAAACTCTTTACTTAAAGACAAAAAAGAAAGAGAAAGTTAGTTTTAGCATAATTGGATTTAAGGTAAGTTACATAATTCTCTATTATTATGTTATTCTATAATGAAAGATTTATGATGAGTACAAATTTTTTTTTAGAACTGTCATAGAACGTTTCTTATTCATCGTTAGAAAATGTAAAAAACCATGATGATTTGTAGTATTTCTTTCTTCATATAGAATAAGTCTATGAATAAAATTAATTAGTTAGGTATTATAAACATCAATAATAAACTGTAACTTATAATGGATAAAATTAGACCGTAACAAATAAAATGGAATTAGTACAGATATAAACTTTATTCTGTATAAATGTCCCTTTTAGCACGTAAACACTAAATAACAGTAGTAATAAAATAATTGTTTTCCTAATTTGCTTTATAAGAAAACGTTATTACTGTTTTCATTGTTTTCTTGAAGGATTAATTGGTGAAAGTATAATATATTGAGCACCTTGAGCAGTCTATCGGTTAACCAAAAAATACTGCATAGTTATATAACCGTTGACATTGTAAAGTAATTAAATAGTAGTAGAATAATAGCTTTGATGTGAATTATGAAATTTCACATGCCAAATAATTTTTTGTACTAAAGAAAAAAGGTCAAGGTTACATAATAAGTATTGAGATAGTATTCATAGTTACGGTTATTACTCCATAGAGTTATCATCACTACATGACATCGGTAATAATTTGAAAAGATTAGGGTTACGCATTTAGAGTGAGGCTAGGCTTTTGAGTTAGATTTACAAATAAGGGTTGGAATTCTCATCACTAACTGACATCAGTGATAAAGCAAGATTTTACTACCGTTGTGTTAACAAATTTAAGAAACCTAGGGTTGAGATTTCAAGGAAGAGTTAGAATGGAAGAATATTATCTGACTTCATTAAGGACCTCTGACTTCCTAATGAACTACATTAAGCACTTTAGCACACAATTCCCTTTAGTAGCAGGTATGTTTTGTCATTTAGCTTAAGCACCATGTTAAACTCACATTTCAACAGCATCACAAATATTTCTACTGGTTCTGAACATTTCAAGAATCCATTATTCTCAATATCCCTCTGATTAATAATAACAAACAAGTTTAAATTTCGCTCACAGTACACAAGGAGTTATCTTGATTCTGATGGATTGACTCCTGGCTGTCACTATGCTATATCTTTACTGAATAATATTTAATAACATCGAATGATGAAGATTAGATGACATTTTTTAATAAGAATATTACCATGCCTGGAAATACCACTAATCCTATCAAAAGATAAAATTATTATTTTACTTCATCAAATATCCTACTCTTTTCAATGACTGTTAATAATTCTGTTAAATTTAAAACTAATAGAATACTTGGTTTCAAATTACCGACATGTATCAGAATTATAATTAATGAATTGTATACAGTGAAATGATAACATTATACAACTTGTTTGATCTTCTTAGAAGATATACAAAATAATTAATTATTAGTAATTATGAATTGCTTGTTATTATGTTGGAGATCATTGAATTTAATTTACTTTTAATCAATATTTACAATTATAAGACAAAATTAGACAATTGGTAAACATAACACAATTCTGAGATCAAATCTCATAGAGAATTGATGAAAATTTAGAACAGTGAATTACATATATATGTGTGATGTAATATAGAACCATAACATGATTAACTAAACACTATCAATTATTACTGTATTGTATAATAAAGCAAATTAAGTAAAAATGAATAATAATATTCACCTTAAATAATGATAGAAATAAAATTTATCACAATGAACAAATAAATCTAAAAGGATAACTAATTAACTTGAGTCAATTTTGTATTCTTAACAAATTCTATCGTTACTAATGATACAATGAATTCATTTCAAACTATTCACCTTATTTTAATAAGTTTACATTTATTGATTACAAATCATTTTGTTGCTGAGAGAAAGGATACTTTATTGCATTATTATTATTATTATTATTATTATTATTATTATTATTATTATTACCATTACTACAAAGCAAGTTAACTATGGTGAAATTTTTGAAATTTAACTCAATAAATAGCCCTGTTATATAATGGTTAACATTTTATCAATATAAATTAATGAAAGGTTATGGATAGATCAATTCTGATTGTATTTTATTAGTTGCTATTGTATTCTATTGAGTACTAAATTTATCATAAAATTATAAAGATTTAATGTAACTAATGATTTCATTATATTTTAACTAAATAAAATTGTCAAATATACATACTAATTTAAGAATTCAAATGACCTAAAGAAGTATGTATTAAGTATTCTGTAATAATAATAATAATACTACTAATAATAATAATAATAATAATAATAATAATAATAAGAGTGATATTCTTTGCTTCTTTCCATATCTCTTCAAAAGAGTATAAAGTTAATAATGATAATGAGTAGATCAAAGATAATTTGGAAATTTGTCAGTTCATGTTATTTTAGTTATCCTTAGTTTATCCATAGAAAAATCTATAAGATTTACCTAGAATCACTTGTCATTTCAACTAAAATGCGTTAATCCATTTTATTATTTTTTTGAGATTATTAAGTAAAACATTTTTTTCTTCACAAATAATCTTGAATTTTCAGTAAAATGAGATTTGTGAAGATCATTGAATGTTTATGAAATCATGAATCAATTACAGTTAGATATTTGTTGGAAACCAAGATGCACTGAATAATTGTTTCTTCCTAATATAGGACCCTTTAGTAGTGTATATCCACCATTTATTATAGGGTTCAAACTCAATAGTCTAAAAGTTAAGTATCTGCAATGTAACCGAAAGTTGTTGATTAGATCCCTTTTATGGTTATAGATGAAGAGTTTCATACTAAAACGAAACAGATATTCAGTGTCTCCCTGTTTCTAATAAATGTCTGATGTAGCTTACTTCGTAATACTCATAATACTGAATTTAATAAATTTTTAATTGAACTTGCTGTTGACATAATTTATTCTTTGTATCATAATACAAATTCAATGTTTTCGTAGTAAATAGTGAATAGTCTATAATTATTTATGTAACTCTAAAACATTAAAACCTTTTCCAAAATCAGTATGATAATTGAATATAAGTAAACTGAATATACTACTTAAAAATGTAAATATATTTTTCTGGTAAATATTAGCTTCATTCACTGTTCAGTGATAATTATGTATTTCTATAATTTTAAATGAATTTAATGTAAAAAAACAAAGAATTCACCATTTACATCATAACATATCTATTTGTATAAAACAATCAAAGTAACTATTCTTTTAATGAAGTTTCATTCATTAATTTCTATTAGCGAAAAATCTAATAATTAAAAATATGTTAATGAACGACTCAGTTATGGACTATTATAATAATAATAAGAAATCTGATTCTAGTATATGAATAAATGTTTTCTCTATTCATTACTGAGCTTATTCATCTATACATAGTTAATTATAAAATCAATGATATACTAAATTATTTGGTAAAACCAAAGTATCAACTCAATGAAAGTTCCTAATAATATTGATAATCAACTTTTAAAACAGTGTTTGAATAGGAAACATTTATGACAGTTATTTTAGACAAATATGGATAGTGGCTACCAATGGAATCCAGGAAGTGCGATTCGTCCTATTTGTGACTCGTCAGCTGGATGTGCTTGCATTTCAGATCCGAGTAGATAACGCGATGTTGTTTGAAGCGAATAGTATTGGATTTGAGTCCCGGAGTGAACATCAACTCTGAAGTACAGGTACATTCAGTTGACAAGTTCTGAACAGGACGAAACCTCGCGTCCTAAATTCCACTGCTTGCCACTATCCGTTTTTGTTTAAAATGCTTGTGAATTATGGCAATATCGAAACAATCCCTACAGTATGCATACATGCTAATAGGATACTGATCAATTGCAGTCCTAAATAACAATGTGACGATAAAAATAAAACAACACTAAATGAATTCATGACAGTTAGTTAATCATACGACTTATAATTATAAACTTATTTTTCAAGGTAATTATCACCTCAGACTGATATCACCTAGATGAAAAAAAGTCCAAAAACGTATCGAAAAATAATTTGTTCTCATGACAGTATACTCAGAAACACAATATCTAAGTTCGCACAAGTATTGTAAAATAGTTTTCGCATATAGGAATGCACGTTACATTCTGAAGACAATTTATTTCAGAATAATTTTTAACATTTACTAACTTCAGTCATTTTTCAAATGTCGTTCGAAATCATAGGTAAACATTCACTTTTCCCCTTACATAACTGGTTTTAGTAAGTGAGATTCCTCACTAAACAGTGCAAACATTTCATTACGAATAATTGGGTATACAATATTCCCTCGTTTATTACTAGAAGAGGAAGACAAGCAGAATTTCCATTGAGTTAGAAAGACTTAGTTTCGACAGAATTCGTGATAATATAATGATCTTTTTTGTGATGTGTGAAATTCATATGTTAAACCTTATATCTTTAACCTCATATAAAATACACTAAGAATACTTACAATGAACTTTACATAACAACCAATTCAGTATCAAGAATTACTCAGTTCTTATTGGCTTCACAGTTGTAACCAATAATGAGAATTGCCTTCAAATTAGTATCCTGACTTTACTGTCTTTGAATAGTAAGTAGCTACTTGTATATATAATGAAACAATGAAGGAACCTTCAGGGCGAGGATACTTTCTAGTTATCTGTATTCTTATTGTTGTTGAATTTTAGATAATGTATATCAATTTTAAATTTTCGTAGGAAATTTTTTAAAAGATGGTTGTATCAGTCGGGTCCAAATATCCAGTTATTCTACAACTATATTGATTGTTAAAGTCATAGAAATTAGTTATATTTACAGAAGTTCTGTAGTAAATAAATCTTTATAGTATTACACCGTTTAGATCAGTGATATATTTTAATCTCAAGTTCATTGGGATATCGTCAGAGATATGAATATGTACCTGTTTCTCAGTTCGATCTCTGTATATCAATGTTAATTGATCTGTACAGTTGGAGGTATTTAGGAAAGAGAACCAAAATTCTTACGTCTGTATAAAGGAGCAGTTAAAAAACCTTAACGCTAGATAACTAATCTATAGTCTTATGGTTAATCAGTTCAACAACTTCATCCGTTTTAAATTCAAGATGTGAGAAATAAGCTTTTATCCAAGTATGTAGTCTTTGACACGAACGTTTTCTGTTTTAAAAGATTTATCGATACGTTCCTAAAAGTGTAATTTTTTTAATGATTATGTTGTTTTCATGTAGTTTTTTCACAGTTCAGTTTTCGAGGAAACGGTCAAAGAATTTCACTTGCATTTCATTTTAGGATGAACGTTAGATTACTTACAACTTATATGTATGAAAGCTTAATTTAAATTTTGAACACAACCAACATTACAACCCATCTAACTTTAATAGTACCTTATGAATAATTAGCAATATCGAGTTACACCTTTCCGGATGCACATATGTCAATACTAATCATTTTCGGTTATCAACGTGAGCAACAGATAAACACAAGGTTTTATGAAAAAGAAAAACTGACTTAATAGTTCATCTGACGATGAATTAAATGAAAATAAATAAATAAAATACTTATAACAAGGATTAATGTTATGATCTTGTATCGACTTAACCACGTGCGATACTTGCTCTAAGTAATCCGAATTTTCACTAGAGAGTCAGATAACAGACCAGAACAAAATCTTATTATCTGAAGGTATAAAGGAAAAAAATGCACATTACAATATGAAATGATATTCTAGGTATTTCACCATTCACATTCCTTGGATAATCTCACAAGTTACCTGAGATGGTCACATTATCTTCCTCTCGAAGACTGAACATGAGCTTTTGTCTTTGCCGTCATGTAGAACAGTCATCTCTTTTTAGTGTGATCGCTTTTTTCTGAAATCTACCTGTGATCCATTCTCTTGCATAACTACCACATTTAGTGATTTAACCTGTGATTAATGACCAGTATATTTTCTACTCTGAAGCTGATTTATGTGTTTTATGAATATCGTATTTTTATTATCACTTAATACTATACTTTGTCTAGTTTATCTTTACCCATACATGTATTCGTTAAGGTCTTCCTGGGCAAAAATCACGTCCAATTACTTAGTTGAATACTATAAACTCACGGAAATTTATACGGCCATTTCCTATAGATTTAACTGTTCCATTTAGTTTATCTTCAAAATGTGACACAACAAGAAACCCTCTAGTGGGGTGGCCAAATATTACTACAGCTATTAATTTACGATGTGGTCTTTATGGGTTATGTAGGATTCTTTATGAAATAAAAACTATTATAAACATTTTAATGCTAACCACTCCTTTTACCTTTAAGATAAAATCTGTGGTTGATGCTTCATTAACCATCGCAAATTTTATAAGGAAAACTTCAATCTCATTACGGAATACTCTTCCAATCTCCTGTTCAAATGATGTTGACACAACAGGAATACTTTTTTCTGGTTTAATATTTTCAACAACACTGGGAAGGGATTGAGGCACAAAGGAATACACAATATTATAAACCATATTAAAAGACAAGTCCCTAAGTCTAACTTTCCCTATAGGTTTAATACCCCGCAGGTTGATATGACAGTTCTTATATATAGTATTTTCTCGACACATATTTATCATTTAAGCTATAATTTAAAGACACCTCCTCGTATGAGAAAGATTTCTGTATCAGACTCGCTTATATTACCAAAGGTAGGGGGTAACCATGGTCTACCCATTTTGACCGTTTATCGGATAACTGTAATATCAGACCTTAATAGGTCTAGCCTTTTCCAGTGGCTGCAACCCATATACAAATGCAAGGCAAGTAAACTGATTTACTGAAATTTCCTGTTACTGGAATTTTTCTTACTGACGATTAGAGATGCTACTATAAATCAAGTAGTCAACTTATGTCATATTAATGGACTGTAAACATTGGTAAATGACACGTAATGTTGGTAATCATTTTCAAAAAATCCGTGATAACTAATATACAGTCCCTTCAAAAGTGGTGAGAATGGCAATACTATGAGTGTAATAAAAAATTGTTACAAAATAAATTTACTACCTCATTAATGATTATGTAAACAACAGTTCGCTTGTCTCAGTTCAGAATACATATAACCTAGAAGTTTTCTTATGGATTAAGGAGTGATGACTTGAGTTTTGATGCTGTGTGAAACCAATGTTTCAGAGTAGTTATGTTATATTGTAGACCTCTTAAGAGTGTAATACTAATTTTTTCTGTTTTAATCACATCAGTGACGTTTCTTTACTGGTCTCTGATAGGTAATATACCAAGTACAGTTTAAATTATTTCAGTTGGAATCATAAACTGATTAGTGTTAAACTACCACTGAAAACCTGGAAGCACTGGACGTCCGTTTTGTCCTAGTATGGGACTCCTTAGCAGTACTGATACACGATCTCGCACGCTGGACTCGAATCCAGGACATGTGTACACAACAATAGACTATTTCATTGGCAAAGAAATATTTCTATAGACTAAAACGTTTGTTTGTTTTATGTACACTTTCATTAATGGTACTAGAGTATCAATCCGTATTAAAGTTAGAATTAGGTTAGCAGTCTGTGATAACGGTATCTTTAAAGTAGCTTTATGATTTATGCCAAAATGCTTTTCTAATCATTTGTATGCTTTGCTTAGATAACTTGTTTTCATGACAAATAAGTATTAACTTTAAAATATGCATCATTCTATATAACGTATGATCTTCATTAAAATTTTAAGATCTGACTGTTTTTTCTTAGGGTTAACGTTTAGTTACATGAAGCAAGTAATCAATACGTCACATTCTTAAAGTATTGATCTAACAACTATTTCAGAAGTGTCTCAGTCTAGTATACTTAGAGTAAAATTACTCACACTGAAAATATATAATCAATAGCTGAAAACTAAAAATATTTTTTTAAATGCAGTTTCTTTTTTTTTTATTGAACGTGAGACTTAATTTACAATAAAATGGATGGCAACTAATGTGCAAATTTGTTTTGCATACTACTTCAACATTTTAAGTAGTATCTACAAAAAGAACTAAATAATCATTGTGTAAAGTTAGGGGATAAAAATACATGGATTAATTTTACAACTCAGTATCAAGTGTCACTAATTAACAATACTACCGCAATTTGTAAATATTTTACTAATAATTAATTTCGAAAAGAAATTTGAGATTTTTTTAAGTTGAAGATTACTTGCTTCACAGGTTGACTGTAGTTAAGTAGCTGTTAAAAATCAAGAAGAGTTGGATGGTTATTTGATCGTAGTTTGCAGCCTTTCTGCAGTATTCACTGAAACTCCATCCAGAAACTGAACATAGGATTTCCAGACTATGTAGTGGGCACAAGCGTGAAAAAATGAATTGTGAGACTTAAAGAATTCAGGAATGAAATAGAATGTTTGTTTAGAACCGCAAACTTAAAAAATTGGAAAAATACTAAATTGAGAATAGGTATTTGATGATACATCGATTCATTTTTGAGTTGTCGTTCTATTAAAAATGTCTGCAACGAACAGATGTAATCATATTCATACCGACAATGATAAACACTGAAATTATTAGTTCATCAATTACAGCAACAAAATGTCATATAAGAACTTTCGTCGAAATTCGATCGAATAGTTTCATAGTATTTGGGCTCTGATTTGATGTGAGATATTAAAGAGAAAGAATGTATTTGTAAAATCTCAGCGAAAGAATTTGAAGTAAATTCAACATTTCGCCTGGCAATCTGGTTCAAGCTTTTTCAGGGAAATATAACCAAACATCAAAATTATTCGATATTGGATTTACTTCAAATTCTTTCACTGAGATTTTACAAATACTTTCTTTCTCTTTAACAAAATATTGCGTTTTTCAATTGAATGCAATTAAACAATAACACTAAATCTTGAAAATAATATCAGGAATACATCGACATAAGTGATAATTATTTAGTATTAAATATGATCTTTGATTCTTTCATACGTAAGTACTTTCAATTACATAATATTATCATAACTTTATCTCGAAAACTTAATAAAAGCCAGTACTTTATTGATTATCTGATTGTTCTTGACAAGAATGAGATCAGTTGCATTGTGGTGTGTGCTAATTATATTGATATAAATATCATATGACGCGAGTCAGGAATGTAATGTCTGGCAGAAGCAGATTAGGAAGATCAAGAAAAGAAGAGCGGGAATAGAAAGCAATTAGTATGGAAATGAAAGAACAGTGAAGTTCGAGACAATTATTGAACATTTTGCAAATTAAATATTATAGTATGGTTTTTCTATTTTACTGAGTAACTCTGTAATTTTGTGCTCAATATAATTCGATTTTCCTCAACCGTGTTCTGTTCACTACAGTATTGTTAACAAATAAGAATTAATAAGATAAACTAATTATTAAATGTACATAGTACAACATTTTCACCTATTCAATGTACTTTTTATTGTGAAATGATTAATGTGGTGTCCCATGGAATATGAAAAGCTTGTTTAAAGCTTCACCTTGATTACAATTTTTCACTTTATCATTTGATGTATCACAAGAATATTGAGATTATATATAAAAGTAAACTTTCAAATATCTTTCCAGAAATATATAACAAGATGAATGGGAATAGAAACAATTCCAGACATTTAAAAACGTATAAAGTACAACATTTGAGAACATTTGAAGTTACTCCTAAAAATGTATTACCAAATACACAAACTGCTGTTGAACTACTGATGCAAGGGTGTTACACATATGTACGCAGTTTTAATATGTCAATCGATGATAATAATGGTGAACCATATCTCATTCTAAGTGATCCACGTAATGGAAATGTAAGTCTACTATTATATGCTTTATTATTAAAATACCTATTGAAATCAGTCATATATTATAATTTTATTGGATTTTTATAGACTCCTTGCATAAAAAAACATTTTATTTGCCCACTAATGCAACTACACTGGCACAATTACATTTGTTCGGAAGTAAATATATCCCATTTAGATGAAACCAACATTTTAAAATATCGTTATCATATCTAAATTAATAGACGTGGAAATTTTTAAACTGCCATATGTCTATGATTCATGATTTACGTAGATATTTACATTTTACATCATTTATTAAGAAAGTTAAAACTATAAAATTGCCGTATGTTACCACATAACTTATGTTACTATTAGTGGTTAACGGAAAAGTACTGAGATGTAAATGAGAACGGGTTGTATTGTCATAATGGCTTCTGCTTTTACAGCAATAATCATTTTACACTGAGATTACCTAATCTTTCGATTTCAAAAATAAACGATTTAATCATACAGGTGTAATGTTGTCTTACTATCCTTGAATATGATATGATCAATAGAGAACAAACATTGAAAGTAAATAAGCTTGATTAATTTAATCTAAGGCTTGCTGGAATAAGCAAGTCTTTTTATGAAATACACAAAGTAATATTTGGAAAAATCATGTTGTTACTTTGATCAGTGGCGTTAACAATGAATTCTAGTTTCACTTTGTTAATTGAAGTACATCGATGGTGACAAAGATAGCTTTGCAGGATACTGCCTAAAAATTTAATAACTGTGATACTTAAATTTGCTTCATTATTACTATATAACATTAGTCTCATGGATTTAAAAGTAAACTACAATGTCACTATTAGAAATTTAACGATTCAAAGATACTTTATTCAATTCGTTTTGTACATTTTGTTCTGTGTTACTAAACTGAAATCTCAACATTTTCATTTCAAATTACATAAACAGTTTACCATTAATTTAAAATTTGTCTCATATCTTCTAGCTTTACAAGCAGATTTATTCTTGATAAATTACTGAAACTTCTGTCATAAGTATATAAATTTTGGAGACAAAACCAAACCAAAATTATTTGAATGAACTAAGGTACTTTTTTCTACATATTTACTGACAATTCTATATTATTTTTCCAAGAGTATGATAAAGGGACCAGCTCAAGATGACAGCGATGAATATTTGTCTATGGACAGTTGATCAAAAAATAATGATTGTAAATGGATGATTTCCGAAGAAAAACTATTATGTTTTAATGGTACACAAATCTCACATAATAAATGGATCTATTGAAGTCTTTAATGGGTTGTTCTACTCATAAATTTTCCATAATAATATAATGCATATGTCTTCTCGAACCATTAAAAGGACTGAGAAAGATTTTTAGGAGTCCCTAAGTTGTTTCTGATCAGATTTTAGGGTTAATAAATTTAAAAGTCAATGTTTTAAGGTTTAAGGTTAGGGTTAGAATTAAGAGTTTAAGATTTTGGTTCAGAGATAAGACTAATTTCCTGTCATACACAATTTACATAGAAATCTTTGACCACCATATTTTCTACTCTCTAATGACAAAAAGAAATCTTTTTATTGTAATCTTAACCGTTTCAAGCCTTATACAAAGGTATTTCTGTTTCATACTTTATGTTATGTAAGATCAATGTCATGAAATTTAAAATTTCAAACAAAATCTCATAAATCATTTTCGTGATTCTGATTGGCTCGTACCTATACTTCACTTTCACCACGTACACCATGATTATAAGCAGTCAAATACGGATTATAAACAGAGATGAATGGGTGGCAAGCATTAGAATCTAGGACGGACATTTCACTCTGTTTTGGACTCGTCACCTGGATATAATTGCATCACTGTGTTCATGTTCACCAAGGGACTCGAACCCATTGATATTCGCTTCAAAAGCAAACTTCAGTTCAGATGCCCATATATGCTCATAGTCAATATGACATATTCAGAATATCGATACAATGTACAAGTGATGCACATATGCCGAAAATAGACTGATTAATTGCAGTCTTAAACATCAATGGGAAGATTCAAACAACCAATACAAATCAATCAAAAACTGATTGTTTGTATTTTATTATTTTCTTAGGTAATTCATACAATTTTCAAGAATATAAAAACATTTTTTTCTAGCCAAATACTACCTATTCTAATTCATTAACGACATAATGAAATACTTCTCATTCAATCACTAAAAATAATCAGTACGCACTTTTAAAAACCCTACTTATTCCAATTAGCACATTATTATTTTAGCGTATTTATGGTATTATGCTAGTACATTTTTTAACAAACTTTTTGAAGTGAAGCATGTTATTAATATCTAAAGAATTCTATTCATCTTGCCAGTACCACACTAAATTAACAATGAGAAAGAAAACGGTATTATTTATAATCTCATTATAAAACTATTTATATTACATGATATTTTTATACTTGAAGAGAAAAGAAAACAAAAGTGTAACAAACACTAGATTTTCTCTAAAAGAAAATATGAAATCTATATTTTTTCTTTACTTTTTATAGTAACTTCAGGAGTATAGTATCTTAGTATTAGTTTGATGAAAATGGATTAACTAAGGTTCATTGATCAATCGGTTTCATCCACAATTGACAAGACAGGCAGTTTACCTATTGAATTTCTTCATATATCAAAAAATACGTAAACAGTCAATTGAATAACATTACTGTTTACAAAAATTACACAAAAATCACTTTAATTTAATAAGTATGAGATAATTTATATTAAATCTAATTAATAAACATTACTTTTCTTATTGAATCAATTATTCAGTTGTAATTAAAGTTAAGAAGTCAATAGAAGAATTTCAAAGATTTGCTGTCTGCTTTTTAGTGTAATGGGATATGTTGAGATTAGATCATAAGACTAACAGATATTCAATAATGATCGTGTATCTATATGAACAAAAAACTGAATGTTTTGTGCCTAAATAGCATTACAAACATTTCCTGCTAATCGACCTTTAAAAATTCCATTTGACTAGAGAGGGTGAACTTTTAATATTTTTCACACTTATTCAATAAACTGACATGTTATTATGAATAATTCCTCCTTGACATATTACTAACACTGTGTTTAATAAATCTAACCAAAGACAATTTGTAAGGGAAATTATACTTCCTGTAAGTAAAGCGTATACAAATATACAGATGTTGATTACATTGAAGAGAATATACTTGTGGCCTTATTTTATTAAAAAACCTTAAACACTCAATTTGTTCATTTATTTACAAAGGCTGAAGTTGAACGTTTCCGGATTGGTCGTATACTTTATCCTCGGTATCGAATAACTCCTCCAGATGTGTGTCCAGTAAACAATCTACTCACATTCACTATCAAAGCTGGTTCAATGGATGATGGACGTCCAAGACGCAATGAAATACATTTATTTCAAGTAACTCAACAAATTATGTCTTTATTTCGTTGTTTAAAAATATGAATGAAGATTTAAATTGACGAGATGTTTCTGTTTTTAAATTATTTAATATTTGGATGGTTTCTCTGACTTAACACCTTACAACGAATAATATCACGAAAATGGAACCTTTAAAAAAATATATATATATATATATATATATATATATATATATATATATATATATATATATATATATATATATATATATATATATATATAATGCGAGGATGACTCACTAAATAGTTGAAAACATATTTACAAAAACAGATTTATAAGAAGGGAATTTTCTCTCATCGATTTTATTTCCAAAAAGGACACAGTTGTATATTTTTATAGAATAGTTAGTATGGTAACATATTTAATTACTAACAAGAAGATTTGAAAGTAAAATCAATAAAGCGGCCTGAAACTATCAGAATTATAGAAAATTAAAGGTCAAATATACAACTGAATTTTAAAACAAAAAATAATTGTGTTATTCCTTCACTGAGTAGGTTGGCAAAAGTCACGATAAATAAAAGAAGAATTTTATCAAAGATGAAACTCTAATCATAATAATTAAAAAAAAATTGGTTCTACAGGATGGAATTCCACACAACTTAAAGGTAGAAAGAAATAGAGACAAAAATATTAAAGGTTTATAAATAAACTACAACCATGGCGCTAACATCAGTCACAAAAGCTGTTTACAAGCATAAACATGTGACCTTAGATTATGTTCAACTAGGTCTTTCACAAGATGTAAATATAAAGATTTATGTAGATTGAGGCTTATTTCATAAATGACATTAAACTATAGGTCTGATGTTATTTGGTTATGACCAGTTACCAATAATAAAATAGATGATTTTAAATTTTTATGCTGTAATTTATAGAGTCATACTTGAAGTTGTCATCTGATACATTGAGAAATATTTTTCATTCTTAATCTGTACAATTTCTTTACATCAGTTCAGCAGAACCAACTAGGTTACTTGATACAGAGGAGATTGATGCTTCATAAATAATATGTCATTATTGAAGAACCCAAGAAGTGTAAAAATATGATTGACAGGCTGATGTTAACCTCATGATGCCTAAGCTTAATTAGGAGATATTCCATTGTAGTGAGAAATTGATCTGAAGCACACTTTTCTTTCTAACAACTGATTTTATCATTTACCTTTTTAATAAGAGTTTTCTAATTTATCATTTTCTTTTTTGAAACTTACTTTATAGTATGCATCACAGACTGAGCTTAGACTACTCCTGAAAACCGCGAAGCACCGAACATACATCTTCTTTGAAAACATTATTTAGTGTGAAATTAGTCGTGGATTTCTGGGACAAAAGACATTATTAAGGTTTTGAACACAAACAGAAAAGTAGTATATCCAATTGGTTATGTACTGAAGTAACATAGTGCTATTTGTGCTTGTTCGTAATCTTTAAGCTACTGGTAGATTTTCTAAATAAAAAGAAAGTCCACTGCTCAGTAAAAAGAAATAATATATCAGATCGTCTGATCTCTCTATAAATCTGAACAAGGACAAAAACGTTCTCATTACCGAATTACATACATGTTTAAAAATACTGTTCTTTGTCGTCTCACTGATATCTCACCGTGTGTTATATTAGTTATAATTTAACAAGGTTTCAATTTGTCTAGCCTAGTGGAATTTTGTTTTACTTTCATGAAAGTGATTTATGATGAAAGATAATGAATCATTTTCCTTTTGGACAAAAGACCGTTGTTCGGAAATGTCTTTTAAAGCTGTCGGTTGATTTGTATGTTCCATTCTCACTATATTATTTTCATACATTTTATGAATCTCATATTATATTCTACCGAACTCGGGTAGAATTGACAGTTTTTAACATTCTTAATGATTAAACTTTATTATTTCAAATAAATAAATATGAATAGTAACAGATTTATTGCCACATTGTTTCCAAATTATTGATCTACATTTGTATAGTTCTACTTTCTGTATATTATCATGTAGGTTTTAACTTGTCCTGCTCAAACAATTGTCAATGTTTTACTGAGAGCTGGAGCTCTAGACAATGATTCATATGATCAAGAGTAAGTATACTTTTATGGTTGGATTATTATAAGGTTAAAAAAGAGAGATTTTAATCAAACTTTTTCTGGAGCTATAATGAAAGGGGGGAATGTTATTTATTCTCCAGTATGAGCTTTTTTTTGAAACAGAATGGAAAAGGTCACATATATTTACTGATTATTTTATTCTATAAATCAATTAAGCAACTTTCATATGTACTTATAAATAGAATTTTGGCATGAAATATAGTTATATGTTATCTTCATATTTTATTGTAATTTAATATATAAATCATACCCGAGAGACGTTTTGTGGAGATCGTAGTAATTTAATAATTGAATTCATGAGTCATTTGAAGCTAGACCAACATGAAAAACCTAGAAGCACTGGATGGCCGCTTCATCCTAGCATGGGACTTATCAGCAGTGCGTATCCACAATCTCGCCCAGCGAGATTCGAAACCAAGACCTATCAGTCTCGCGCGCGAACGGTTTATCTATAGACCACTGAGTCGGTATTCAATGATGTTAATGTTTAACTTCAAATAATCCACGGAACTGCGTCACCGTCCACTATCATATCAGACTTCAGTTGTCAATATAATCAAGACAATGAGATGGTGAAGATTTGTAGCTCAGGTGAATGCTTTTGATGGAGTTTTGTTCTCTCAGCTGGATGGTTTGGTCGTGGAGCTTGTTTATTGCAATAAACAAGCACAGTGAAATCGATCCAATGTATCAACCAATCAGGAAAATTATGCACAAACATAGGAACAAAAACCAAACCAATGGGAGATACAACCAAAATAAAAAAGTAAACAATGACAAGTTTAAGATCAACAAGAACCAATCAACATCGAGGTGTACAAAACAAGCTGTGAACTATATGTACAGAAATTAAGATACTTCATTTCAACCTAAAGTTTGTGCTGATGTCGTTCAAAAGAACGATGAAAGCTCCACGACCAAACCATTCAGCTCAGAGAACAAAACTCCATCAAAGTGACTATGTGTGTTAACTGTTATTCGAACACAATCGTTTAAATCGTTTTAAAAAAATTCCACAAATCCATTTTTATCCTCTGGTTCTTATTTACTGCATTTAAAACGATATGGCACATAAATTAATGACTTTCCATAAAAAGTTTAACTTATCTGTCAGTGAAACCTTCTGATGGTAAAGTACGTATATGCTAATATCATAAAAATTTATTTTTAATAACTTAGAAAGTGAAGAAAGTATTTGCATAATAATTTTAAAAAATGTAACAAAAATATTCAGATGTGAGTTATTGTGAGTGTATTTATGTAATCAAACTTAATTAATTAGAGACAAAAGGGCATCCATTTGGCAACAAAATAATAAAAAGCAATGGTGCCACAAAACAAGGTCATTAAAATCAGTTAAACAAGGAGTGAATATTATAATGACTTTCATGCTGAATAGGTATGGGTTATAGACTATTGGAAAACTTCAGATGATGAAATTGTAAATGTGTGTTTGATAAAGTAGACAGATCAGTTGTTATATATGTTAACACGCGGATTGCTGAAAGGTGTTACAACGTATAGACGTTTTTGTTTACTTTTGATATCTTTGATATTTTAACGCCTTCATTTCGATTATTCTATTTTTATACAAAATAACTTCTGTAAAATAAATACATTTCAAGTGTCAATGAAATTTCTTAGCTGTTTCTCTTTTATATTTTTTTATATTTCTTCTAACAGCATAAATGACTCCATGCTAATCTCCAGGGCTCCATCTGAACCAAATCTAAGGATACCATTACAAACAAGTTCAAGTGGAATTCAACTTCCACCAACGATTACCAAAGAGGATAGTGTATATAGTGAATCACAAATCAGTAAGGAAAATAGTTAGAAAAATTACAATTAACAATTATTCCTATATTTTATTAATTATATTTTACTGATATCTTACTAAGTTCATCAATTTAATGAAGTTTATTAAGCAATAATTTGGTATGAAATTGGAGAACCAATTTTTAGCTACAAATATTCTCCATCATCTCAAAATATTTTTGTGCTTTGCATTATCGGACTGGTTGGTATCTTTATTAGCTTGACAAAGAAACAAACCATATCCACTTTTCATCAATACTTAAGTGTCGATTCGATTATATACTGACCCTTTGACCTTGTTTAATTGGTACAATTCATTTTGCTGTGACCCTAAAATATATGTTAGAAGCATCATAAAAGAGCTAAAAATAACTTTCAAGGATATTTATTTTCAATATATAGTGGGATTTGTGGAGATTGTGGAATCATCATAGTTTAGATCACAAACTAGACATCCAGTGCTTCCTGGTGCCAATGGTGATTTAGCTTAAATCTGTTCATGGTTTAAATTATAAAAATCATATCTATTTGTTCAATGACATTAAAACAAAGAGAAAAATGAATTTGATATCAAAGAAAATAGGAAATTTAATGTCCCCTAATAACTAGATTTACTACTATAAATAGGGTTATTCCAAAAGAATGTTCTACAGTAGACTTATTCTCTGGATTCTACTTATTTTATTCACAAGCACTAACTCCATATCAATGTTTCAATCTTGATCTTGTTAAATAAGAACAAAATACATGTTTAAACAAGTGACTTTATATCATATGGAAGGTCAGTGACAAGTTGTGAATATAATAATTCACTAAAACGATTTTGTCAGAAATATAGGTAAGGTAAATCACTCTTTTTGTTATAGATAATTATATATTCTAGTGAGGAGTAGTGACCAGTGGAGTTCAACCATGTCTGTTGTGAGATAGTAACTTACTGAAGACAATGGTGGACATGTCGCTCAATTTCGTGGATTAGTTGAAGTTAGAGATTAACACCGTTGGATGCCAGCTCAGTGGTCTAATGGTTAAGTGCTCTCGCGCAAAACCAACAGGTTCTGGGTTTGAATCCCGCGAGGCAGGGTCGTGGATGCGCACTGCTAAGGCGTCCCACAATAGGATGAAACGGCCGTCCAGTACTTTCAGGTTTTCCATGGTGGTCTAGCTTCAACTGACTCATGATCTTAACCATTGATATATTCATTACTTATTCAGAATGGGTTTTGTGGAGATTTTTTTTAGAAATTTCTTACAAGTTCAATTTATATAGGAATGAAATAGTTAGGAATGATAATGACATACTCCCTCAAAAAGATCATGTATAATTTGTTGTTAATAATAACAATGTAGTAATCCTAATAATATTGACAATCATAGTAATCACAATAATAATGATTCAAATGTCTTTGAAACATCTGAAAAAGCATTAAAACTAGTAAATGATCTAAATATTTACTAAAACGATATCAAAATAATATGTTGTTCAAAATAATAATAATAACTGTAAAATAAAAACCTTTAAAACTAAGTTATCACGAATTAATGTTTTTGGTATTGTTGAGTTCTTTGAACTAGATGTAGAAGTAAGTACTAGTGATATTTTCCATAGCGACAGTGGAACTTCTGTAAATACGCCATCTAGCACAGAGAACACAGCAACGCTAAAAGTACCTATTTGAACTGCAAATCTTCTTCATCATTCCATAATGTGATATGTGTATCTAAGAATTGAAGAGAATGAAATAGACTTATTATTATTTAATTGGATATCTTATTACATTAATAAAAATATATATTAAATAGAAACAAACTTGCCCTATGAAAATAATCGTACTATTATATAATGGAAGAATCAAATGCGAGTGTCTACAGCTTCAAATTACAAATTAATCTGTACAATGTGGGATTAGTTTTCATTACCAAATGAACAATCATAAGTTGGGAACTTTGATAATGGATTAATCAGCATTGATAGAATGCTTATTAAGATTAAAATTTAAGCTGAAAAAGAAAGCTAAATACGTTGATTCTTGAATTACCCTCCCAAAATCCAAATCCCTTAACATTCAACGAGAACGATAATGAAGTCAATTTAATCTAACTATTAGTTTTACTGAAACTCCATAGCCAGAATTCGATGAGTTATAAAGATTAGATAGCATGATACTAGTTACTGCACAATATATTCAGTCATACATATGACGTTAGTTTCGGTTTGGATTATGATAAAACATCTTGTGAGTTTACACTCTATGGAGAAGATTTGGTATTTCAAGATCATAGATACATTTTGATGGTAAATACTAGCCTGGATGAAGATTCATCCAAGTTTTTCTATCACTCAACTTGAACCATCATACAGGTTTTATTTCATATATGAAATATTCGTAGTGTTTACCAGTATGCCTTGATAATAATGTAAGGTCATCTTCTGATACGAACATCCTTAGTTATTCTAACTTCATAATCAAGGAAAGTTTACCATATGAAAGATTATTTGGATTTACATAAAATTTATGGTAAGTTTGATGTTCTGTTGTTTGAATACCACATATCTGCGGTATAACCAAGCGATGTGACGTTTTGAAGGAACAATTTTTTTCAGAACTAGTTCAGGACAGCTTCATTTTAACCGTAATTTAATGTTTTAAGAGACTATTTTTATCAGATGACCAAAACAGAATAATGATAATATCGTTTGTTAAAATGTTTGAATTTGACTCATTTATTGTCTCATTTGAGACTGTCACCTTAGATTTATACTGTTAAAAAAGTAATTTAAATCAAACTTATGTAATTTTTCTATTGGTTTATACTTTTTCTTAAACAGATCGTGAGTGGATTGACTTAGAGGTTGCACTGCTTAATCACTGCTTTGATGATATTGAATCAAATTACAAAATTTTGAAAAGCAGAACAAGTCGACAGTTCTCTAAATCAGCACCATCTGTTGCTACATCGAGTAAATCAAAAAGTCGAGTTTCAAGTATTAGCGCAAATCAAAATTCGAGTAAGTATATTCAGTTTATAAACTTTTTGTAAAAAAAACGATTTTAATTAAATTAACTTGATCATATACAGTTATAACAGTAAATATTCACAAGAGCAGGAGATCGATTACTTTGTGATAAATATCACTGATTACCAAGTATGTATGCAGTTCATAGTTAGTCAATTCTGGACAACAATATGCGTAGACGATTGGGGATCTCAGAAGTATTATCACAGATACTATTATAATCATCAGGTAGTAGTAAATAAGCGTCATGTTTTGGACCTTACAGAACGTGTTTATACTATTATTAAGATTAAAGCTATGTGGTTCAGTTTGAGGAACACCCTCAAAATGTATAAAGCTCCAAAGTTTGAATGATATGGAGTCATATAGATGGGTTTTTATATATCATACGCTATTATCTTAAGATCGAACATCCAGCTGAGAACTTTAATAGATTTATCAATCCTGTAAGACCTATTAACATATTCTAATTTTTTTAAAAGCATTTTTCATAAATTATTCATTTACATCGACTGTACTGTGATTAAGTTAAACTGAGATTTTCTTGCTCGGGGTTATTTTAAGGTTCCCTGAAAGTCATCGACAAAGTATTCTGTCATCAAAGGTTGTATTTTTTAATAAATCGCTAATGACTATCGAATGTAATTATCAACGTTTTTATCAAAGAAAATGTTTTTCTTTCAGTTCTTTGAAAAATTTAGCATATACTTAAACATTCAATATGTCCTTGGCAAATTCTCTTAATTATTCCTTCAGAAAAGTATGTATTCCATAAGGCGAATTTGAAATTGCGTATTTAGAATACAAAGCCGATTAATTCAAGCGAATAGCTCATTCCTTTTATTGAGTCTGAAAATGTATTTAATTTGAACAATAAGTTATTTCCTTAAAGAACTATTTTTGTAATAGTACTGTAATTAAATTACTATAATACGTCTTTTCAATAAAAAAGTAGAAATATGTATTTCGAAACTGGTAGCCTGTTATAAGACCTGGTATTTTACTAGTTAGTTTCATAATTATAGACCCTTGTAAAGCAACCATTAAAAACCAAAAGTCAGTTGATATGTTTCATTGTAGCATGAAACTCCTTAGTAAGGGATGCCCAAGACCTTAACGTGGACCGAACATAGGACCTTCAGATTTTACAGCTAGCGGCCCCTAGTGCGGTTGTAGGTGCACGTTGTTCATGAATATATAATACTAGGTTGAAATAGCTGTCCGGTGTTTCCTGGTTTTCAGTAGTTGTCTATCAGACGTGTGTTTGTGATGTAAACTATTGGATTTAAGAATCTTCACTACTGCCTTACTTTAATAATTACAGATCGGGATTCTTTATTACAGCAATATAATTACTTATAGTTCATACTCAAATCTATAAAATTTTAATCATTGTAAACTAAATAAATCATTACACTCCTTGAATTGTGATTATTTTAATTGTAGGTCAAATAAGATTTCAATCGTTCTTTTAGGTCGTGACTGGAGGTATTCGACAAAAACTGAGTATAGTGCGCGGGATGTCAAGTCACTTATACAAGTGGCCACACTGCAACATGATCGGTCGAATTTACTCAACATTAAAGAGGGGTTTAACATATATGCCGTTCAGAGTAAATGAAGTGACACATAAAGGCAAGAAATAAAAGCTCAAATACGGATAATGACTATTTATTCAGATTAAAATTTAACAGACAAACAAGTGGGCTACAGAAAATCTGATATACTCTTAGTCCGAATACACTTACAATAATTAACTAACAGTATTCAACTATGATTGTTTCTTCTAAGGAATTTGTTACATTCGATACTAACTGTCCAGAAAAGCTAATAAGAGTCGCTCACAGGACAAATAAACAGAGAAAATACAACGAGAGTAAATGTACAGCTTAATTTCCTCACAGTCAAATTACGACTAAATTCAAATAATTAGGTCCACTACAGAACGTGGTTTTAACTATCACTGACAAAGAAAGACTCAAATAAAATTAAACGTGCGGAGCATAGTTTCATTGTCATTTACTCTTGATGATGACAATGATGAAATGTGTAAATACCGATAGAAAAGGGTAGGTGACAATGAAATAACAGCTAAACTTATTAAAAAGTGATTATATCTATTAAGTAAACTAGTTGCTGAGCGATTAAATCATATTCTTCCTATACACTTAAAAAGAACAACCTTTTTATATTCACTCAACCAAAGTAAACGATATCTGGAATTTTTCAAACTTGAGTAAATATATTTCTAAAACTTTATTCAATTGTTATAAATCATAGTTTCTCTAATAATTAAAATTTCTTACTCTATACATTATTCAGCTTTGGTCAGTGAGTTAGATGAACCTGTGAAAAAATGTGCTGTTGATTTCTTTGAAAAACTCAAATTTGCATGCATTCTATTGGCGAGACTTCAAGACTATCTTGTAGATCCGAATTCTGCTCACTTGGCTAGACAACTATTTGAATTTTTAAAGTAAGTAAATAAGTACATCATTCATTAGCAATTAATAATTACTTTTTAAAAGTTAAGTGGATAAAAACACGATCGATTACGACCAATATGATTTACCTTGCCTGAAGTTTATTAATAATCTAAATAGGATTGTTTAAGCGATCGAAACACCTCAACTACCTGTTACTAATGCTGCATTATTGATAAACCCGCCTTCATTTTATAGTTTTATTCATGGAAATTCAAAAGACGCAAGCATAAACCTTAGAATCAGAATAACTAGAATAGGAGCGATTTTAATGTAACTTTATCGATATAATTTAGTCTAAAATAATCATTCGAAAATTATAGAACTAGTAGCCAATAACCATACTATGAAAGAAGTCACGTCAAGCATCAAATGAATATTACTGGAACGAGCCATTTTATCACCTGGAAATGATTATGTGGCTGGTCACGCTAATTCGCATTTGTATCAGTGTTTAACCTATCCATAATTGTCTTACAAGGGCGCTGTTTATTACTTATTAAAGTTATAACTACGATGCACACTAATAAACATGTAGCTAATTCAATAAAACTATTAAACCATCATCTTTTCTGTAGTTTAAACTGAATTGATATTACTTTTGTTAGATTCATTGATTAGCTACTAAATAAAATGACATTGTTTACAAACTGGGATCAACCTAACTGTAATTACACCATTCAACAAAAATTTATAGTAAATTGTAGGGTACAGCCTCGTGTAAATTGAATTGGATTTTTTTAATATACATTCCAAATTGCCGTGAACCAACAAATGTACACATTTCAATTTAGAAGTTCTTTTCAAAGGTTTAAAAATGCATATTGGTAATGAAGTGTATTCACTGTATTTATTTATTCATCTTTTATTCTAGATATGGAGTTGATGCTACACGAAACCCTAAAACAAACAGATCAAGCATTGCTCAATCAACTATTTATCCACTATTACCAGATTATGTTGTGCTTTTTATTCAATCGAACTTGACAAATGAATATGAAAGACTATGGCGTAATCTCGGAGATGCATGGAATGTACCAAGGTAGTTGAATAGCTAGATACTAAGACCTCGACTTCCTTACTTAGGAACTTGTGATCTTTTTTTGAAATTGTTATTAGATCCTTGGGTTGACAAGTAACGCCTGGGATTATGGGTATATGAAAAATATATGCTGAGATATTTGGTCGAGAATGAAGCAATAGTTTTGAAAGTTCTGTCCGTTATCCCATTATAAATAGATTAACAATTTTACTATCAATCCATTATAACAAATAAATATATAATCAGTGGGGTTGATATCTGTTCTGAAAAGCAAATGACAACCCAACTGTATTGGTAGTTGATCTTCATAAAATCAGCTTCCATCAGTTGATCTGTGGGTGACTTTCATGTGAAACAAAACCACTCACAAGATACTCTAAGCCATGTGTCATATACTGACTAATTCCGTAAGCCATTCACAATAAATTGTGATGTCAGAAAAGTTTCGACTTTAATACGTAAACAACATGACAAAGGATAATTATTAAATCATTTTAGAATATATCAATATTTGACTTGAAATTTTATCAAATACCCGATAGATAATGTTTACAACTTATTAGTAATAAAGTAATGAGACAATTCAGTTTTTACTTCTAAAGTGTCAAACTAAGCTAAAAATAATCAATGTTATTATACGACAAGTAAGTTATTAAATGCAGAATTATTGAATAATTTTACAAAAATTTCATATTGAATATTTAGAAAAATAATTGTAGATAATATAGACAACCAGTTGGGTAGTTAACTATAAATAAGGGTGTTTTTTTTCAAAGAACTATGAGATTATAATATGTAGTAAGTGGGAATCTCATTAAATTTTAATTAGTTTTGTTTGTGTTATGACGGGTGGTTTCTGAAACCAGATACTGATACACTGTGGGTCTCGTAATCGATTGGTGGGCATAGGTAAGAATGGGTGATTAGCCTGATCTCTACCACCCGGGTTACCGCTCACGTTAGTTCATGAGTCATTCGTCTCATTATCCAGGAGGCTCGACGCGGCGTGAGTCGGATTTAAGATCTATGAACTAACCTCCCCCCAGTTGCTTATTTCAGCGAGAACACAAGAGTGAATCAGAAAGTGCATTGTACTACTGATTAAAATACAAATACTCATTCATATATATACAATTCTATCCCTAGGACATTGACCCATTTCTCAGCCAATGAAATGCACTTGTCTTTTAGGTCATTTGTGATTCCTATCGATTGACCTTTTCCTTAAGCTATTTCTGATTGGCTTGCCATATCATTTTGTAACATTTTTTTTTGTTTTACTCTTATTCCAGTAAGTTACACACGAAAGATCCTGAGTATTCACATTTTTTTCCTTACACTTGAACAAATTTTACTGTGACAAAAATCAGAAATGTAGTTAATGTAAATTTGATTGAATATAAGTATACTGAATCTAGTAATTTGTACTATGAATTAGTTATCTCTTATCACAACAATTGAACAGTGAAGATAGATTTGCACTGTAAAATTTCTTTTTGTTTTTCATTGAGTTACCTTTCAATAGAATTTTGTTTCTATTATTTAAAAACTCATACATTCAGCAATCATACTCAACTGTTCATGGCCCTGGATATTATTAAATAATAAGTTAAAAGTAAATACACAAAGGTTGAATATTATAATAAAAAAAATTTCGTATGAATTGAGTTGATTATGTAATACATAACTAGACTTGTTATGGATAAATAATAATTGATTATAAAGCCCAAGTTATCAACGCCGAACCCCAATAAACGGTAATCAGAAGATGGAATTATTAGCTAGTAAAAATGAGTAGTTTCAAATAATATGATTAAACATTTAAATAAAACATATTTCTAACAAAAATAACATTTATTCCAGACATAAATAGTTGGCACGTTCAAATTTCTTAGGTCATTCATTAACTCATAAAATTAAAACCTTTAAGGGTCAGTTATTACTCATCATATAAGTGATAATGTTTTCATAGTAGACTACTGTTAAATATTGTATATGTTGTTTTTAATTACGGGAAACCTCAGCTACTGATAACCCTGAGTTTTTAATAGTACTGATTTAGCTAATTGAAGGAGAACCTTATTTTTTTTAGATAAAAATTTTAATAGATCTCAGTGATCAACATCCAACACTAATTAAAAGATAATATGTAATTAAGTTTACAGATCACAAAAATACAACTCTATAAGTGTAAGGAAAATAAAATGCAACCAATTATTACTTTCATAATTCGTTCCGAATTCGTTTTAAAACACAAAAGTAATAAAATAAATAGTGAACTAACTTGACAGTTGTTTCACCCTATTTATGAAAGATGAAGTATTTTGACGTATTATTATGTGTTATTTTAATCTTTACACACAGTGATTGATAAGTCTATATGGATTGTGTATTACTTGATAGTTTAAAATATATTCGTGACCTGTTTATATTTTGTGTAGCATAAGAATCTTCCGCTTATCATTTCTTTTGACACAGCTGCCATACCTCTTAAACTAATGGATCTTACTCAACATTTTAAGATAAGTATTTTTGATAAGATAGCTTCGCAGTACACAGTTAGTTGTCATTCATTCGTTAATCGATGTAAATTCCTGATTCTTGAACCTCATTTATATAAAACATTGTTACCAATAGTGAAATAATATCCTAATGGTGAAGCTTAGACACTATTAAAAATAATGGTATTACAATCCTAAGCAGCCGCCAAAATTTAAGTAAAAAACTAAGCATAACTTCAGTGATGAAACCGTTCATTGTCGGTTCTCATGATAAACGTGTGAAATCTACCCTTTTAAAATACAAACGATATTATAGTTGCATCACTTTCTAGTACTATCTGACCATGTTTAATGCATATTACACTTTAATTATTACTCTACGTTTACAAGACATATTTCGGTGAACGAAGACAGGTGGATAAGACCAATTTATTTATTTATTTAATGCAAAATTACATAATGTCTTCATGAAATATGAAAACGGTACATTAAATACATAATTTGCACATCTCCCATCAGTTGTCTCTTAAAAACTTAATATTCCTTCATTTTTGTTGTTATTATAGTTACTCTCAGCTTATATTCCTGTTTGCTGAAATTTTATCTTCTCAACCTTCTGCTGCTAGGCATTCCACTTCGAATCAGTGTTACATACTACTTATGTCTGTCAACATAAGTAGCATACACCACATTATCACTATATTCTTTTGAATTCCATCATTCATGTTATATTTAAAATGATATCATCTCTGATCACACATTTTGCATTTTTTGCTTTACACCATTAACATTCCTGTTACGAGTTTTCAGTCAAAATTTATGGAGTAAATGTGGTCAAATAATGAATTTTCCTTTATAAAATCTTACTTTTACCGCCTCAAAATAATTGTTTCTGCAAAGTGGAGTGCAATCTAAAAGTTTTCTGTTTATAAAACATTTCCTATATTTTTTGTATTTGTAAATAGAACAAAAGCGGATACTTTTCAAATTAACATATAAACGTTTACCATCGGAATCATGTAAAATTTTTCTTAGAACTACATGCAATTATTCAACCAGTGATTTTGTCGTCGACGTTTCATATGAGTATTAGATAAGATGATAATAGACAGATAAGAACAATCATCTCATTTTTTACTTTAAACTGTTCCCATTGATTACATTTAAATATTTAGATGTTGTTTAATATATATGGTGATATTGAACAATGTTCAGAAAAAAATTAACCTTTGTAAATTTAAGCTTTAATCTAAACACTATATATTTATAACGTTTTTCCAGGAAGGAATCTCCTTACGAAGATCGCGTTTATATACCCAACTTTGAGAACAGATTCACGGTAATTCCACATGAATACGAACCATCATTGTTTAACTACAACTCTCCACATGTGATTGATAGACAAGAGGTAAGAGTTTACTTGGCGGTTGAATTTTCATTTGTTTATTTAATTATTCTGTTTACTAGTATATTTTGAAGATAAGAATAGAACTATTGATAACATTTAGTGGTCAACTGAATATATAAAATTTTGAAATGCATTTGGCTTACACTCCTCATATTCTAAAAAATAAATAGCCATCAGTATTAGCTAATATCAAACCCTACTTTAGTGTATATAAGTTATCAGACTAAATATAATAAATTGATTGACCTATCATAAATATGGAGATTTTTTTTACACCATACTATTGTAAATATTCAACATATAACTTTAAAATGTATGACATTCTTGAGATGTAAACTGATTACATAACTCCCTAATATAACCCAATGGATTTCCAAGACTTCTTTCTAATACTCTTAAAATCTATACGTAAAATCTTCAGGAAGAACAATATATTCTGATTAAACTGTAACGAAAACTAGATCAAGCATTCAAGGCATTATATAAAGAAACATGAAAGTATTTTGGTTCATTTGAAAAAAAAAACGGGAATCTGTTTTTGTTTTTCTAATTGTACTCAATTCGTTAACATCTCAGCTTCCTCACTAGTTTATGATAACGAAAACTAATGCACATATACTGTTTGATTGAGAACTAGATATAGACTACAACAAGAGTTTATGAACACAAAATATCTGAGATAAAAGTGTAATGAATACTAGAGTACATTAGATAGTCTCTTACACCCAATCACTGACTTATAAACAGGTCAATTTGACTGAAATTCATTTTAGTATCTGTTAATTGTATTTATTGATTGCGCGTCATCACTACATTATTTAACACTTTTGAACATCTTTAAAAATTAATATTTTCAATAAGTAGTTATCTTATTTATTAGTTTTACCAACTAATATCTTCCAGTTCATTCTTTGGTAGTTATGGTTTTAAGAAAAACGAGTTTGAATAATTCAAAAAATGTAGTTGATACATTCAGTGAGTCCTTCACTGTTAAATAAAATGACTTGACGTTCAGGATAATAAGCACAACGATAAGATTGTATATAATATGTTTTAAAACGAATCCTTATTAAGCTCAGGAATGCAATAGATAAGGTTAAGGTATCCAAATGGTATCAATGAGGTATTCCTTGTTTAGCTCAAATCAAGTCAATCATGGCCAAATTAATTAAATACAATATAAGTAGAGATGTGATTATAAATAATGGGCTACCTAAGGAGTATGTTTAGAAATAGATTGGAAATGAAACATTAGTTAACCTAAAATCTCTTGTGTTACTCTATTCTAATGCGTAATTCCTGAATGAGTAAAACATACTCAAAATGCTTTCATGAAGTATAGAAGATCAATAAAAATTCTTGGAAAAAGTTTACTTGCTTTACAATACATCATGCTGAGGACGGTATCTACTCTGACATTATCAATATGTATCACTTAGAATTATCTCATCATTTAGACGATATTTTATTCAGATGTAAAAACTGATAAAAGTCACGTAATATCAGCCAATTTAACTTTTTTTTCAAATAATTAAGTTGTATAAAAGAACTTATCATCCAAAAGGGTTAATACATCGATGTGTAAACGTTATCGTATTATCATGCTGTTATCGATGATGAAATATGTATCCATTGGGTAATGGAGTGCAAAAGAAAACCATTCCTAGCCAAGATACTTATCAATAAAAGGTTGATCATCTGGTTTATAGTAATAAAGTACAACATTTCTAAAGACTAAAAATCTTAGTCTAACTGTGAAGATAATTTAACTTATTTCGTAAATACAATGTAACTGATATGACATTAACAAAAGCATGCGTATAAAATGTCTGATAATGAATGCAAAAGATAGAAATGACTTTTTCTGAACTCAATTTCTAGAGTTAATTATATTTGATATGAATTATAAAATGAATGGGATATTATTATGAATTATAGAATGACAAATACTAACATTTACATTTGTTAAACGTTAAATGGATCGATTCTGTCTCAGTTCATATTTTATCTTGCAGTAAATCTTCCGATTAATACTACTTATTCTTTGTTGATACTTATTCTGGTTAGCGATTTTTTTAGCAAGGTTGTTTTCTACGGGATGGGGTTGTTCATCCCATACTCAACCCTTCTCCTTTACTCGGGATTGGGACCGGCAGTGACCGTAGAAGAGCTACGAGTGGAGTTATTTGTCGATATTTACACTATGATTAAACATGGTCTCTTTGCATATAAATTCCTGTTGTCTAAAGTAAACTGAACAAATATTAGTTGCTTCTGTGTTACTAATTGTAAATAATGTATGACTGATAATGGCTAACAAGTAATCTCCAAAGTTGTAAGGATATACTATTGAGTACATTACTAACTGTTAGGAAATATGTAATTCACGATCATGTGGAAGTACTGGGTTTCCTGTTGACTACCTCCAACCACCATCTAAAGCTATTCTTTACTAATAAGGAATTAATTAAAATGTATCAGTAAATAAGATTTATTTAATAAACCAATGGAATAATTAAAACCGATTAAATACAAAAGTTACGTTATTTTATCGTATTGATATTTGAAAACCAAAAATGTACAAAAAAACAAATATATGTTGTTGATGGAGTTTTGTTCTCTGAGCTAGATGGCTTGATCGTGGAGTTTTCATCGTTCTTCTGAACGATATCATCAACACAAACTTCAGGTAGAAGTCCAAATCATCCACCTGAACTACAAATCTTCTTTACCATCTCACAAATATATGTATTTATAAAAATTTATTCTGAAGATCAACTAGAGGAAAATACAAAGCTTTACACATTAATTCAACCAATTTGATAAGTTAATAGCTATATCGACTCAGTAGCTCAGCAGACAATGAAATAGCGTTTGAAGATGAAAGTAGTGAATTTGAATCTCATTGTGAAAATCAGTACTTTGGATACAGGTATATTCAGTAGACCAGCCCCATATAGAACAAAACGTAAGTTCTAGACCCCACTGTTAGCCACAATTCGATTTTACTAGAGAGATTGTCTTTATGTAGATGGTAATAGTGAGTGTTAGCAACTATTAATTCCAACGTTTTTTTATTATTTAAAAATAAATTCATCAGTAAAATGTATGAAATTATATGTTAACCTAGTTTGAATGATTATCATAACTCAACCGTATGATTATATTAATGTTTTAGATTATTGTTTAATAAACTATATAAACAAGTAATATTTATTTAATGGACATAATTATTCCGACTATAACACTGGCACCTAATTGACCAATAATAGTCACTACTATTTTAGATTAATCGATTTGCGAATTCACTGACCAGACAAGATTCTCTTGTCAGATATATTGAAGGCCAAAAAATGACCTAAACTCCATAAGGTAATTCACACCGTCTCTACAAAAACAACCATTATGATAATCTCATAATCCTAAGTTAGTCGGCAAACTAGGGTTTGTTTATTAACTAATATGCAATTCAAATATGAATACTGAACAGTCAATAAACATTGTTAACATGTGCACTATTTAATGTTCAGTTATGTATATTAACCAAATGAAATAACAATTTTATTTCACAAGTTGAAATCATGAGCCAATTGAAGCTAGACCACCGTGGAAAACCTGGGAGCACTGGATGGCCGTTTCGTCCTAGTATGTAACTCCTCAGCAGTGCGCATCCGCAAATCCGCCCCCCCCGCGGGATTCGAATCCAGGACCTACTGGCTTCGTGCGCGAGCACTTAACTATTAGACTACTGAGCCGGCATCCGACGGTGTTAATGTCTAACTTCAACCAATCCACGAAGTTCCGCCACCGTACACCATTGTCTTCAGTGAGTTCCTATCTCACAACACACCTGGTTGAACTCCACTGGTAACGACTTCTCACTAGAACTCCAGGAGTGTCTCCTGAAGTCGGTCACTAATGAGCAGGCGATTATTATTATCAGAATGGGTTTTGTGGAGATTTTTAGAAATTTCACAAGTTGAAGCCAGTAGGTTCTGGGTTCGAATCCCACGGTGGGCGGGAGTTCCATACTAGGACGAAACGGCCGTCCAGTGCTTCCAGGTTTTCCATGGTGGTCTAGCTTCAATCGGCTCATGATTTCAACTTGTTAAATTTCTAAAAATCTCCACGAAACCCATTCTGATAATAACAATTTTATTGTTGAATTCGCTTTACGAAGACGTACCAAAATACACATAATGTGCATGAGTATAGATCTTGGAAATAAATATTTTGTCTTCACCAGTATCTTTTGTATAGTCTTGGTTTCTTTCTTTTGTTTCAGACTAGATATATGCTCCCACCAGGCAGTAATTTTAATGTGAATCAATCTTCTAGAACACCACATGACAAAACCAAGTAAGTGAGAGCACAGATATAAACAATAGGACAACAATTTTTATGATCCATTTAAATCAGTTGTGGAACCAATCAAGCCTAGCGAATCGTTTTCCACTAGCTGACATCAATGAGTGTCAAAAACTGCCACTTCAAGACTAACTAACTACATATAAATACTTACGTGAATACTATTTATAGGTCATACCATAAATAATAGAAGCTAAAAAATGTATACCACTCGTACAAACATAACTGTTATATCATTGCTGATATCTACTTCAGCAAAATGACAAATTACATGTATTCGAAGAATGACAAGTAACTAATCTTTCTTGATGGAACTATTAAGCTTCTTTCATCAAAAGTAAAAATATAGACAAAATTCCCAAATAATAAATCACTCATGTAAACAGTGGTATGGATAATAATAGGGAAAAAAAACAATCGTAAAAAAATGAATAGTTGAAATACACATTTACAAACTCAATGCCATCATAGATACTTAATTTCATTTCAATTGATAATAACTGTTAGATGTTTATTTGAGTTGTTCATCCTTAAATAGTGTAGATGAAAAGACAATCAATAGAAAAGTAGTGTAAAAATACACCTATACTTGCCAACAAGAGGAACATGAAATATGCACATTATATGTCTCACATATAGATAATTACTGTTGTGCACCTTGTTTAAAGAAATAATCTCCACAAAACTCATTGTTGCCTGTACAATTTTATTTTGCTGTAATGGTTGTGTCTAGTATTGACAAGAAACATAGTTATAAGTGATTTAAAATACTGAGAAGACAAGACGGTCAACAAAATAGCTTTATATGGAATTTGTTACCTAAAGCGGTGTTCATCAAGATTATTCGCTTTCTGCATTTTTACTTAACTATGTCATAAACATACTTTTAAAGATAGTGCTCATTGCTTGAATTTTCAGGGATTGGTCTTCTACCAGGAAATTCACTTGTTGACTCAGAATGCGCAGATGATATAGTTCTGTTTGTTGAAGACGCTGAAAAATATCCAGAGTCTTCAGACTACAAACTTAGCAACAATACAAGCATGATTGGAATGCGGTTCTCTCAATCCATATGTAAAATGTTACCTCAGGATTAGCTTACTTCATCCCCTGAATTAGTGATAGAGAGTGAAGTAGTTGAACAGATTGATCGCCTCACTTACCTTGGGAGTTTCACCAGTACTGATGATCTGGTGTTTGACGAAATCTCGCTATGTATTCAGAAAGCTTGACTGGCTTTTGTCACCATGAGTTACATGTGGCGTACTCGAGATATCCGTCGTCCAACCAATGAGCGAGTTTACTGTGCAGCAGTTTTTTCCGTTCTACTTTAGAGGCGTAAAATATGGTTATGAAGAGTGGAGGATATTTGTAGGTTACTGGTATCCGATCATATGTATCTATGAAGCATTGCTCATGTACTTCGGAACTACGGAGTAAGCAATGTCTGAGTTTGGAATAGAGTACTAGGTACAAGGATGGGAAATCGATTGATGAGGTAGTAACTCCTCATCAACTGAGGTGGTTGGTACATGTGCTACGTATTCCTGACTACCGCCTACCTCGACGGGTGATGCTTTTTGGTGCAAGAGCGGGCTGGAAGAAAGCTAAGGGCGGCCAAACCCAAACACGGCATAAGTCAATGAAGTCGTTAACAGTTGGACTTAGCCATGTCAGTAGGTATAGACTACCTGGTTGGGGTCCGCAGGATTATCGTAACCAATGGTTAGACTTTGAATGGCATGGCTCAAAATCGTTTGCAATGAAAAAGGTATATCCATTATTTGTCTTCTCCCCAAATTCTGAGGTTCCTAATTCCTTATATTCTCCCTTTGTTTTTTACTCTACTAGTTTGTATTTTCTTTTCGAAATGTATCTTCAATGTCTAGTCTTTTCAATTCCCACTGATATTGTTACTACCTGTACTATACTGTAATTTGGCCCGACAACTTCATCTATATGTGCTAACGGGGTATGACAACTTGAACCGATGTACCTACGTACATGTTCTACGTTGCGACTGACTGGCTCATATCTTTGGAAACAAATAACTGACTACTTAAGCAATCATTATAAAACTACACTCCAAAAGTGCTTTCTAGTCTAATAGAGAGACCTTGGTTCAAAGTTTATAAGATCTGTAAAATAAGTTTGGGTGGACTTTAAGGACATTTTCGCCGCGAGTAGAATAATTTAAGCCCAATTTGCTCCATAGCAAAACCTTGTACAAAGCTATGAAAACAAAACACTCTAGAAAAGAATTTGGTTAGACAGTCTAAACAATAATAATTTTTATTAAATCTGATCAGTCTTGATTGGTATATCTGTATCCTCTTGGGATTCCCGCGATATAACGTTTTCCATCTATTCTACACTAACTTGCGTCAGTGGTTATATCGAGGCAATCCACACAGGATACCCATATAACAACCAAAATTGATCAACTTTCAGTTAAAAATATTAACAACGGGGTAATCCAATCTATTTAAAATAAAATAAAACTCATACCTGTTGCGAAAGTGAGTAGCTACCTGAACTCAGTGATTAATTAAATAATAAGATGCTGCTTGAGGCGGACGATATTGAGTTCGAGTCCCGGGGCGATCATCTACTCTGAAATCCAGGTACATTCAGCTGACGACTCCTAGATAAGATGAGACGCGAGTCCTCGATTCCACTGCTAGCCACACTCCACTTATTCTATATTTAGAACAATAATGTTTGATGATGGTATGAGAAAACGTAACTGATCGAAGGACTAAATCGTTTAAAGATCTAAAGTCTTTTCGAAGTCCTACAATATTCAGCCTATCTATATTAATAATTAATGAAAAGAAATGGAAACTTGACTAAAATTGATAATAAAAGCGTTATCTTGATTAGATAAAAGATGATAGGACGGATGAAGAACGTTTGTGTTAATGTTACAGGTTCAGTAGACGGAATATAAATTTTAAAACGTTTTTGGTAGTAGAAAAGGAAAAATGGAATAAAGCATATCAGTAAATTCATTACCATGCCAATGCTAGGCGAACCAGAAAACCTAAGCATATACAGAAATGACGATTCACATCCCACTGCCACAGTGATGAATTAGCCGCTATACTTGCCCACTTTTATCTTTTCAAAAAAAATGTTCAAGCCTTCACTTTAATTATTCAACATGCAACCTTTACTAGCATACTATATCCTTCCCATCACCCTTTATTTAATCAAATCTTTATTGTTTATCTTATTTGAGTTCTCATTGCTTATTTAAATGTACCTATGCAGGTGAATACAGACAGTGTACTTCTTCTGATCTAATTAACTAGAATTTGAAAGTGATGTTACATGATATGGTGTAACAAAAAGAATGCATCTTTGATCAGCCAACAAAATATGTTGTTCAGTGTGACAACTTAGAATAAATACATTAAACTTATTAGTAAATAGTTAGCTCTGAAAAGAAAATGAACACAAGTGTTTAGCATCTGACGACAGAAATTGGCGATTAAGTCAGTCAGAACAACGTAGAACTTCGTACGTACGTACATTAGTTCGATTTGCCATACCACATTAGCACACAAATAGAATTGTCGATTCAAATCCCGTAGTGGTAGACATAGTAAAAGTATAAGCAGTAATCGGAAAAATTAGGGTTTGAACATGTTATTCAAGGAATATAATCCAATGAAATAAATTTGGAAAGAGAAAAAAAGGATATGAAGAATTCAAACTAGAATTTGGAAGAACACAAAGAGTGTATGCACCTGCGCCATTGCAAACGATTTTGAGCCATATCATTTAGGGTCTCTAACCACTGGTTGTTATCACCTGGCGGTCCCCAACCAGGTAGTCTACACCTACCAACATGACTCAGTCCACTTGCCAGTGACTTTATGAACTTGTGCCATGTTTTGGTCTGGCCGCTCCTAGCTTTCTTCCAACCTACTCCTATACCTTTGAGCATCGCATGTCGAGGTGATTAATAATAATTCTTCTAGAAAACCTGTGACTTCAACACTAGATGTTGAAATATTTCGCTTGCTGATCTGATACTATAAGGGTTGAAACACCGAGATGAATGATACATATAATTTGTAATACATTTTGAGGGAAGGATTTAATTTTTGCTACATTCCCAAATGTCAGTTAACTTTGTTCGTGTTAAACGAAAAAAATTGGGCTGAATTTAGACTTTCGATAAAGAATGATTTAATTCCACATTCAAGAACTTTAATTTGTTAACCAATCAGTATTTCAATTGTCAATATACTTATTCTATAGACTTGTTCAAGTTATTGAGTCGTTTGAAGCAAGCTCTGAAAGAGAATTAACAGTAGAAAATGGTGAATGGGTAAAAATTTTAGAAAAGAATGGGAAATGGTATAAAGTTCAGAATAAGTTTGATGAAGAAGGTTATTGTCCAGGGTCAATACTGAAAATTCCAGGAACTATGTGATATTTTCAAATGTAAGTTTTAGTTCAAAGACAGAAGTTCAAGAGAACTAAACATATATATATATATATATATATTCAGAATATCCATTGCAAAGTCCGTGATTACGCGGCATCTTCAAATCATTAATATATACGCATTTTCTTTCCCACATTTTATATTAGTTAAAATTTTAAACTTATATTCTATTGCTCTCTAAGAAACGAAGAAAATTAAGTAAGTTTCAAGTTGTATTTGTGAATACATTTGAACATTTACTAATCATTAATGAATGATTCAGTAGTTTTTCTTCAAACCTAGTAAGGTTTTTATTCAGATAATGAAGGTTGCTAGTAATGTTTTATAATTCACTGGGAATATGTTAATTGTTAACAGATAAATCGAATAACTTTTCTGAATAAGTTTGAGATGATATACCTATGTGAAGCGATTAGACAGTGGTGGACCATTTTGTATCGGAATATTCTAAAACTTACAAGTGGTTAGCGATTTCTTTAAGAAGTTGAACATGTGTAAAAGAGCATAACTGAGGGTATCAGATAATTCACATCTTCTTAAAACGGAAAGCATGTCCGGATGCAGATATAGCTATGTCTATGCAATGCCTTTGTTGTTGTGTTCTTTGGAATGGATAAGGACGTACTATTTCGTCTAGACAGTAAGCATCAAGATGCTAAATTCTCTACTTATAGTGTCTTGATGAACAGCTGATCAGCTATGTTATCCCGGTAGATGATCGCTGTTTTTAGATATGTAGGATATCCAGTTTATCGAACAATACTTATTGTATTTACCTCCAATCACAACATGGGGACAAATCCTTGGGCACCACTAAGCAGCTCAGATATATATACATGTTGAAATTATTGAAGACCGTTACAACACCATTAACGCAAGTTCTGTAAGTACATCTGCTTTGATATTTAACCACTGAATTTTTCCGTTAAATGGTAAAAATTCTATACTAATAGCGAATGCTGATTTCAAATAAATATTATGTCCGTATGGGATCTGTAAATGCGTTAGCTGAGCTGTTGATGGTATCCTTTGATTGATGGAATAACATTAGATGAGTGGCTTCCAACGACAGAATACTCTGGTGATTTTTTAAAGAAAATCAACCTTAATATAATCCCGGTCCCAATTACAAAGTACTTCGACTCTGCCAATAGCGGCTACTATTTTGCTATTTCATCTGGAACAAACGGAATCTTTTTACTGTTGTCTAGTGGAATGTATCGACTGTCAACACGGTCTCTGAGATATATTTCTCCTTCAAGTGCATACACAATTCGTCACTTCAATACCACAAATCTATACACTAAACTTTCTTGACTATTCATTAATGCAATGAGTCATACGTTTAGCAATCTATCTTTTTCCAAAAGGTTAATCTTGTTAACAGATAGCAATTGTTTACCTAATTTTTTAGGAGTACAAGGACAATGGTTATCTTTGATATACATCGAGATATCTTAACGCCCGATAAATAGAATGATGTCTGTAAGATCTAGTTCGTGATACATGTACCAATAACTCAGTTAGGGTCGGTTATATACTTACAAGTACTTGTAAGTAATTTTCCATGAAACAACTATAGCTGAAGGAACGTCCACGAACTCCCCCACTATATAAGGTTTCATATTCGTCTGAAATAACACCGTTGTATTTACTGCTAGCCCAGGAAATCGAACCTTCTTCGTATTGACTGAAGGAAAATTATTTGAAATTTTTTTGCCAACCGAAAGATAATTGCGTATTTAACATACAACGCTCGACTATGACCATCTAGTTTTCTTAATACCAAAATAATTAAGAATAAAAAGTACTCATTCTTTCCTATTTCGCAAGTGAATTCATTTCCTGGGTAAGCAATCTTAAACTAATTATACATAACAGAAAATGTATGTTTCCGCTATAAATGATGGACGCACCAACCATATATCTGCAAAGTATAAGAGTATTAGAAAGTCGCAATTTTCCTAATTATATCCCTTCCTGAGTTGAGTTATTTTGATCCTGATCATTGTGCGATACAAACTGTATTATTCATGAAAAGATGAGTTTCAAAGTGTAGCGACCATTAGAATTAATGTTGGCGTAGTGTTGAGTATCGCCTACACAATATCAGTATTCTGATTTGTCTAATTGGTTAATATTATCGAAATCTTACGGATTACTTCCTTTAGTACTATAATTATTTACTTCTTTTTGTTTCTTCTTACCGTATAATCAGATATGAATTCGTTGAAGACATTCAAAGAACTCTAAAGAAATTATTCAGTTTTAATCAAAATACTTTCATTTCATTCATCTCTTGAGTAAAGATCATTGTAATTCTTCTTCCTACTACACAACTCTTTGTTCAGAAGTTTACGAGACCTTTTTCCATTTGTTCGTTTTTGGTAAAATATTTAGTTAGAAATAAAATCATAACCATAAGGTAATCAGAGTTGTGTTTGTATTTTAGTAGTATAGTAGTAAACCCTAAAACACAACTGATTGAGTCCGATCACATAATATTTCCCTAATTACTTACAGTACTATTTAGTACGTTTATCTCAGTCACCAAATTCCCTAGGATTTAACGCCCACGGTATGCTTATCTGGCAAACTCTACAGTTTGACGGCGACATCTAGAATGCAATTCATTGACCACAATACCGAAACACCACCAACTGTCAAACAAGCAGGCAAGTACACTCCGACGCTTTACGTCAGTATTAACTTCAATCAAATTATCGACATTTAGGTTTCATTTTCACTAAAACTATCGGATTACATTTCCTAGTGTTTCCTAAAACTTACAGCTGCTTTAGTCAATCTGGATTAAATAAAAACTGTACAGGCATATTCTAATTAGGGCTGATTTGTTGACAGTACTACGTATAACGTCGGTGGTGAATTACGTGATATATCATCTACGGCAATAAAACCCATATGTTCATAATTTTCGGAAACAGCTGACTGTAATACACTAACGGGTAACTAGGGTACAATTTATGGTATTGGCTAGTTCATATTGCTGACTGGATTCTATTATTTAGTCTTTTGATGTGGCTACTAAATTGAATAACTGGATAATCAAATGTACTTTGTTTGAAGTCAGACAAATCCCAATGACTCAACCGAAAATTTAACCATTGTATCATCTGCTTCAGTTTGAGGACCGATGTAGTGTTATTATTCACCAAGCGGTACTGACGGATGCTAGCAACAGAAAATGTGTAACCACCTGCCTTTGAGCATCATTTGTACGCAGCAGACGTTGAACGGTTGCGTCTTTACACATCACAACTATTACACAGGGAGGCAGATAGATTGACAGCATCAATGAGTACGGTCGATTAAACTTAGAAAGGAAAAAGTAGCGAATTCAACGTGTCTACTATTCTGGAAACAAAATCTGAAATCTGACAAACTGTCAGAAAAAACGACAAAAATATACCTTGAACTCTTACAGATTTCAAGAACAAAAATCATAGCCAAACCATCTAAACGTATGAAGATCTGAACTCGGAGCAAAACAATTCCCCTTAGAGTTTGTCAACTATAGTTTTGTTGTAACAAATACATAGCAAGAAGAGTTCATAGTACGAAAATCACTAACCTCCTTTGAAACTCGCCTGAACAATATCGCCTAATCTATGCAATTGAGGGAAAAAATCAGAATAGCCTATTTTCGTATTAACTTGGATCATTTATGAACTAATAAGTCATATTAGCAGCGAATACAAAACCGCATTCTTCATCCTAGAGATATGTAACGGTGTGCGGAATGATTGGAAGTATAAATACTGAGATTAGATATTTTCAGTTTACGATACACCCAAATAAGTCGAAGCAATGATTCTACAAAGAGCTTGGTAGTGATCTATCAATGAACTATTTTTAAAAACGACCAACGAAATGCACAAATTATCAAAATTTTAGCAAATGTAAAATCAATAACAAGAACTACAAAAAGTAGCTACTATAGTGGTGAGAATACTGGCAGTAACAACAGTCAGGAAGTCATTAATCAAGCCCCGCCGCGATGCGTTCCTCCTTGAGCTCTTCTGCTGTTATGGCGAACTTGCCTTTAGCCCACTCATCAAGTTTTAAACCCTGGACGATGGTCCATTTGCCATTCTTGATTTGGACAGGAAAACTAAATATAACATCTTTTGGAGCATCATAAGAACCATCACTGATTACAGACATCGATACCCACTCGCCCTTAAAACAAAATAAGTTAAACTGGAAACATACCTCCTTCGTTCCAAGCCACCAGTCGTGCATATGGTCTGAAACAGACTTGGCAGCAGACAGTGCACTACTTAGTTTCCTGGCTGCTATAACAGCAGCACCGCGCTTCTGGATAGAGCTTAGGAACTCATTTTTTATCCAGTTATCATCATTAATTGCGGTAGCGACAGGAATCTCCTTCCCATCTTGCTTTACAACAGCATGACTCACATCGACAAACTGCGTATTGCTGTGGTTGCCCCATATAATACAATTTTTTACAGAATCGCATGAAACTCCCAAACGTTTGGCTATCTATGGAAAAAATTAAGAGGAACCTAGACTAACAAATGACTGAGCACGATTGTGGTCAAGTCTTGTGAGCGCACTAAAGTTTTCTTTAGGAATGGAAGGAGCGTTCTTCATCAGTGCAAGTGCATTTGTGTTAGCAGGATTACCCACAACAACCACTTTGACAGTCTTTTTGGCATACTTGTCCAGAGCCTGTCCTTGCTCCTTGAAAATTTTCACATTGGCATTAAGCAAATCTTTACGCTCCATTCCTTCTCTCCTAGGCATAGCCCCAACCATAAGTGCAGCATCAATTTGATTGAATGCTACTTCTGGTTTATGTGTCACAACCACACTCTTTAAAAGTCGAAATCCACAATCCTGAAGTTCCATTTCAAGTCCTTTAAGAGACTCCACCATTTGTTCAAGATCGAAAAGATGTAAGATAACTTCCTGCAGTTGTTAGAAAAGAACATCTCTAACTTGATCTGGTCCGAACATATCACCACGAGCAACCATCCCGGCGAGTGAATATCCTATTTGTCCAGCTGCACCTGTCAACAAGACTCTTATTGGCTTGAAAGGTAATAGTACTAAATACCAACTAACCTCCGACATCTCTTATTGTTATTGGATAAATTACTATTGAAATACGCACGGTCAACATGTACTCGAAACGTTGACAGGATAAAACAAATTAAGACAGCTGTACAATATACATCGTTCCTCATAACAGACTTTAGCGACTCGACAATATCGTTTGTCCATACAGTCTACTTTAATGAGTTTCCTTGATATGATAAGGTGTACATTCCTGTTTTGGTTTAGAGAGACCAAAGTTACGACTTGTTTCTTACCTATCTTATGCAAAATGGATGTTCTCTTAGGTATAACTTAAAGTAAAGATTGAAAAATAAGTTAAAATTTGACAATCTCTACTTTAACTATTTTCGCGAAAGTCCATTCTCTTCTCAGTGGGTTTCATGGCACAATTTGTTTTGGATTCCTTGAAAAAAGGCTTACAAAGCATTGAAACGTGTCTTTAGTATGGAATAAATCCCCAGCTCTCAGACAGTGATCCTGGCTTTTACTGGACACTCCCTAGCTGAAGGCACTCAGTCACACATACAAACCAGGTCACGACTGGATATGCTATGCTGCACATCCGCTGCAGTTACCAGCCAGTTTAGAACAAACGTTTCACAACATATCGGCAACTTTCTAAATATAAATTTTAACTCCTACATTCTTGACTTATTATTCGACTGGCCTGGTATTCTCCTGCTATAAAAGTGTTATGGACAAGAGCGTTGTCAAATCCTGAAAATCTGTGACATCTTTGAATCTATGTCGTCTTGGATTCGAGATCGTTTTGTCATAGCCCTGAGGATAATTAGTTTTACGGGTCCAGAACTTTAAAACAGAGCAACAGTGATTCCATCATTCATAACACGGATAACCCGGATTATATCACATTATATTCTAGAGAGCGATATGCAGAAATTTTGTTCATGTTCTATTTTCTTCTCAAAGGTGATGTTTCGGCTTTCGCTCGTATAAACGACAATGCATTTTATGATACATTTAGAAGTTCTAGGTACTTGACCTTAATTCTTTAATTGGGTCTGTCTAGCATTCCGATGAAATGCAGATTAGATCAGTCTCATGTATTCTTGGATTTATTTCTCTACAATCCAATTGCTGTTTATTCTACTGTCAGTGTTATTTCTATTCTAATCCAAATCAAATATAAAGAGATCTAAATCTGGTGTTATTCGAAGACAACTATTATTTTAGTTGTGCTCACCCAGGTCAATCTTACTTTGTTTATTACTACTGTATATGCTAGTGAATTAAACTACTATAAAACATATTCAAAATATTTCGTATTCCATTTCTTACCTGATTTATTCGTTCCCAATAATCAACTAAAACATGACGAATATAACGAATGGCTCTCTTATAACCCTTGTCAGACGACACGCTCTAGAGGTAAGTAATTCTAGAAAGCAAATAGACACATAATACTGCAATTGTTGTTTTGCACTGCGTCCGTAAACTGGTATTGCTACACCATAGTTTTATATACAAGCCCTAATAATTCAGACAAAATATGAGGAGTAAGAAAAGATTTCTCCGGTTAGGAACACTTCTGCGTCACTTTCGTTTGTATGCTTTTATTATTGAAACCCTCAGGAAACCACACCGATCAGACGCTTTCATCTTTTCTCTTCGAAAAGAAAGCAGTCCCTTACGTAATCACGCGAACTTTACATGTGCTTATTTCTGGCTATCTCACGGTTTTAGTTTTGATCGATATGGTTATTCAGAAGCTCTCTAACAAAGAGGTAAAGCTGAGGTTCAATGAAAACGCGTGTGACTTAAACTCATACAAACGTCTTTAAAGGACCATTTTGCATCTATTCAACTTGAGAAGAAACTTACTAAAACCAGTTCGTAAAGAACTCATCTTCTTGTTATCTGTTTGCGCTTACCTACACTTTGACGAATAAGCATAGCCCGTAAAGGAAGAAAACTTTTACTACAACAAATTATACCATTTGCCTGACCCTTTAAATGGCTAGATATGGTAATTAAACGGCCTCGTTTCTTCCTTCTGCTGACAAGATAGTTCAGTTAGTCAGACCTGAAACAGTTTGCCGTCACCTGGATTACCTATGTCAACACAGAGCAATCAAATATGTCGATTAACATAATAGAGAAGATTGTGTGAACACGATACAATCTGTGGCTCAGAAGATACACACGTAAAAGAAAAACATACCTTAACTAGAGCATCAGTAATACTGAAAAACATCACTGTGCTCCATCACACTTCAGAAGTCATACCACCATGTACTCAAATCAATTAACGGTCCGTTGAAAAGTAATACTATCGTATTTTTTCGGAATATAACACATTTCAGTTAGTATTAATTTTTAGCGTTTTCGTAACGGTCTAATAAAATCTAATATCAAGGTTTTTCATGTCCATACACGCCTGTCAACATATAACCACAAAACACACAGCACTACGATTTTTAATATCAGTTGTTTGGCGACCAGTGAATCGTTACGGGTTAAAGTTTGAATCTCAATCTCTAACTGTACTTGTAACTAGAGAAATGCCAATATTCAGAATGAAGGAACCAAAATTTATCCGACTAGACCAGAACACGTTCTACTGTATAGCGTACACAGTGTTTTCGAGGTGCTCGTATCGAATTATATCAAAACACAAACACTTTGCCTAATTTAAACGGTTCTAATTTAAGAAAGAGAACAAATTATATGAAAAATACAAAATACCTCAAACGGTACAGCCTGTGCTATACAGTCAAAGGTTTTTCTAACACAAATTAGCGTGTTAAACGATAAAGTAAATGGCTAATACACAAGAGTCTAATACTTTAAAATCAATAAAAAGTGTTGTCGACAAAATGGGATCAGACACCTATTTGAAGGGATCACAGCAGTCCTCACAAGCAGACAGTCAAACGTAAACAGTCACACACTGAACCACGCTGTGATCCTGAGCTTAGTCGATAATCCGACCACATGAAGCACAAAACGTAAATTAAGAAAGGTAAGTCTTTATATAAAGTCACATAATAAAAGCTCAGACGAGGAAGACTGAAAAACACAAAGTGTCGTTAAAAGAGATTTAAATAAAGGTCAAAATACGCAACAAGGAGAAGAAACAAATAAATGAGTTTACTGTCCGACGAAATGTTCTGGAGAGTTTTTCAGCGTTTTCCTTCCGTTAAACTGGCTTTAATTAACTCTCTAGCTGGCTCCCTTAGCTGACTAATCTATGTCAGTGGGAAGCACAGGACTTACAGAAGTAAGCCTGTATATCCATAAACCTAGCAAACAACCCACAACTATTCGAATACCATTGAAAGGCAAAGCTTACGCACATCTCTACTTGCAGCCTCTGTCATCATTGTCCTTACCAGGCAATCTCCATCTATCTCGCACTTAACAACCTGTCTCATTGGCAATGAGCCACAAGTCGTTGTATAGTTAGCCACAAGTACCACTTCACCTTCCTTCAAGTTTTTGTGTTTGCAAAACCATTTTCGCCTGAATTTCAGCAACGGAATGTACTCTTTTATCCACTGACGCCGGAAATTATTGAGTAAACAATTAACCTGTATCTATCGCTTCGAATATCTGTCCGTAATACTGCACTCAATCCTTGAACCACCATAATATCCTAGTAAAAGCAGGTTGTTTGGTGTGAGCGTCAATTTATCATTTCATCTGATGTCACAGGAACGATGGGACAGTCATTTAAAATTCTTTCCCCACAAACTCCCATAGTCATATTGTAACGCCCTTGAGTTGTGGTTTGTTCAACTGGAGCATTACTCTACGAGGCACGATATGTAACCTGAGTGAATCCGTTACCAACGTTTACGTTCTACTCTTCCTCCCTTATTTGTTGGGGAAGTCCGCCATTCAATTTTGAGCTCTTAACGCTACAACCGTACATCATTTTAAGACGTGAAAAAACAAACCATCTTTCTTTTTCCGACGTTCAAAGAATCTCATCATCATTCCAAGAAGAGAAATCTGGTAATATATTACCATCACAGTTCTTACTTCACCTCGAAATGTTAGCTAACAACAACGTCGTGGGTAAAGTGGTCCTAAAGCAAGAATGGATACAAATTCTCTTATGCTATATCAAAACATTCCACTCCATTTTATCAAATCAAGACCAATAACGAAGCGAAGGTAATGAGTCTGAAATATGGAGTTTTAACCTTGAATCTACAGGACACTCAATGCATTAGTATACTACTTTAAATATCACATTTTTGATTTACTATCGTTTGATAAATTACTTAAAAATCTTTAGGGACCGAAATGGCCCGTAATGAAGCTTTTACTAATTTTGAATTATTTTTAGTTTTCAGGAGTGGTAGTGTCTGTGAAGATTATTATTTATGGAAGGCCATATAGTAGTCTACTACTATAACCAAGTGGCAATATGTTTATTGTTGTTGTTCTTGTCTGCTACTGACACCAGGAAATAAGAATAATTATATTAATGGCAGCGTATGGTTGACTACTTGTAAATGTCAGATAACCAAGTGATTCGTTTATTGGGAAAGTTTGTGCATTTTTGTGGGCATTCAGCTGATAAAAAACACGAAACACTGTTGTTCGTTGAAAAGTAACAATCTATTCATTACAACCCTATATTGAGTTTATCGAGTAGTGAGAATCTTTACATAATGAATATGACAAAAGGTCTAAGTATACTAATTTCGAGCTTAGAAATAATTCAGTATATGGTGTACGAATCTCAGAAATCAAATCAGGTCCCATGACCACGAGAATATGAAAATGCAAATAGGGAGTTTATGTCACCATATCACAAAACCCATACAAAAATAAGACCGAATAATAGGGGTTCAGACAATGTAGGTTGAGAAACATAAAACATACTTGGAAGAGTAATGAACAAAAGTAAAATTGCAAAAAGGAGAGAAAGAATAAACGAATAATAATGTTGTTCAGTAAAACAATGCAGGGAGGTTTCCGGAGTATTGCTTCTTTTACACCTGCTTTTCAACTTCTGCCCTCTATGTTAGCGATCGAGAATAAATATGACAGCGAATAACGTGAAGTGGATTTCATTA